TTTTTAATTATTTTTATTGGTATATATTTGTAGTACATAATTATTACATTCATCATTGGTATCCACTTTTTTTTTTGTCATTTTTGAGACAGGGTCTTTCTATGCAGTTCAGGCCATCCTTGAACTCACTTTGTAGCTCAGGTTGGCATCAAACTCACAGCAATCCTGCCTCAGCCTCTCTAGTGCTGGGATTACAGGTGTGCACTACCAACCTGGTTTAACACTTCATTTTCTTATTTGGTAGTACTGGGAATTGAAACCAAATTCTTGTGCATGCTAAGCAAGTGTTCTACTTCAGAGCTACAACTTCAGTCCTTTTGTTTTTAGACATGGTCTCACTAAATTGTCCAGGCTGACCTGAAATTTTCACCCCTTCGGCCTCAGAGTAGCTGGGATTACAGGTGTGCATCACCATGCCTAGATTCCAATATTTTCTTTTAATTTCTCTAGCATTACTATGACATCATGTGTGAGATGGCAGTAGCTGGGGCTGGGGTTTAGCTCAGCGGCATAAGCGCCTGCCTTGCAAGCAGGCAGTCATGAGTTCGATCCCTGGTACCGATAAAAACGAAAAAGACAAAAAAAAAAAAAAAAAAAAGAGAGATAGCAGTACCTTTCCTTTTGACCTCCTAGGTAGCTATTCAGTTATCTCCTACCACTTATTTAAGAAACACTTTCTAAGCTAGGTGTGGTGGTGCACACCTGTAATCACAGCACCTGGGAGGCTGAGACAGGATCACTGCAGGTTCGAGGCCAGCCTGGGCTAGTCAGATATTTGCTCAAAAACTAAAAACAGCACTTTTGACAAATATCTATTAGATTCCCACATACAGGTAGGGCTATTTCTGGGTTCTAGCCTTTTTCACTGATCTGAAACAGGTACCAGTACATCACTTTAGTTCTTGTTGCTTGAAATATGCTTTACTAAGTGGCACAAACAAACTCACTTCACAGGTCTTCCCTTTAGTCCTTTTCCTGGGTATTTTGGTATACTTGGTTTTCTTAACTTTGGAATCAGCTTTTCTTTTAAAAATACAGAGGCATTTTATTGGGATTACTTTAAATTTATAGAACAACTTTTACAGGAGAGTATTTTCCCCCCACCACTCAAGTCAAACGCACTGGAGTCCTCTTCGTTGCCCTTTCCCGAGAGCCCTGGGTGTCCCTCAGCGAGCCCTGGGAGCAGTTCCTTCCACGTGGATCCAGAAGCCGATGGCTTCTCTTCCATCTCTCCCGCCCACCCTACTTAAGACATCATTTTTCACCCACTTTCTGAATTACGAGTCTCCTTTCTTCCTTCTCAACACAGAAAGCGGAAGAAAGTGTTCAGACACAAGTCAGATTGCCCCAGTTCTGCTCAAAACCCTCTGCAGGCTTTCAACTTGCACACAGTGAAAAACAAGATTAGGTGCACAGATCCGGAGGTGAGTTACCCAGGTAATTAACAGGGTGAGAGGGGTCCCAAGCGAAGAACCATCCAAAACAGGGCCACCAGGAGAAACAGGCTGAGAGCTACAGGAGAAGAAGTCACAGACAAGCAGCAGACTACAGACCTCGGCCTTTGTCTCCTTAAGCATAAAGTAGTTACCTTCCTGGCGTGGGAACTGGGACAGGAGAGGAGAAGCTGAGAAGATGCTCTTTTTCTATTAAAAGTCTTTAAAACAACTTGACTTCTAAAACTATTCACTTCAATCAATAAAGAGTGTAAAGTTTACACATGAAACAATACAGAAACTCACAAATTGCACAGATGGCATTAGTTAACATGTAGTAGGCATTAGGTTTGTTTGTTTGTTTGTTTGTTTGAGCAGACAGACACTTATAACCCATCAGAAAAAGATATTTCAAGAGGTTTTTAATTTCTTGGGGCCGGGGATTTAACTTAGTGGCATAAGCATCTGCCTGGCAAGAATAAGGTCGAGTTTGATTCCTGGTACAAAACAACAACAACAACAAAAAAAACACTTCAAGAGTTTTTAATTTCTTACACTTTTATGTTTAAAAAACCGTGGTACTTGCTAAGCATTTGAAAGAGTATGATTTTTAAGAATACAAAATTGACAATAAAATAATGTGGGTATTATTTGCTTCCACTGCTTTCTCAGAGAGATGAAAATTTCCCCAGGCCACAGGGGTCCAAATCTCACAATGACATCAATCATCAGTGACTCAGAAAAACTTTTGTCCCCTGTGAAAATATAGTATCTTATGCAGCCTCACCTTGCAGTAGGATGAAATGTCCAATTTTTAAAAAGGAAAATCTTCCATCTACACAGTAAGACTCAGCCTCCAGTAATTCCACATCTGCCCTCAAGAAAAACCTTTCCACGTCCCTTTCTACACCTACAGACTGTCATAATAGTAAAACTTCAAGGGTTCTTTCTTCTCTTTCCTCTTTTTGGTGCTGGAGACCGAATGGAGGACCTCACTGAGCTATAGCCACAGGTTAATTTCTTATCACTAACTCTGAATCAAAATGTTTTTAATCTGTATCTCCCCTCACCATGGCACTTTGCTCCTTTTCTAAATTGAAATTCTAAATTTTCAAGTGCTTGCCTGGTAAACACAAGGCTGAGAGTTTGATCCTCAGTACAAAAAAAAAAAAAAAAAAAAAAAAAAAAAAAAAATTCTGAAAGGAGATAGAACTGAGAACAGGGATGGTTTGGTGCTTAAAATATCAGGAACACTTTCCTAAAATCCTTGCGAAAGCTACTGAAAAGCTCATATTATAGCTTAGAAGGCTGCAGAAAAACATGTAAGAGCACATCGAACTTCCCAGGTGCCCGCAGTAATAAAAGGAAAACGGGGAGGGGTACGAAAATTAAACACGTTCTTATTTTTTATTTTCATCAAGAAATTAAAGCTATTAAAATTCTCTTTTTGCAAGCACTGCCTTAAACTGTTCTCCTGCAGCTGCTTATATAAGTACAAGTTGTCATGTAAGAATTCATTGTCCATTGTTATTAAAGATCTCCCTTTAACTTAAAAACTGCTCTCCTTGGTAGACGCAGCTTTATCTAACTGGTCTTTAAGAATAATGTATCAGTGACAAAAGTCCCCGGCACTTTGAAGTCACAATTTATGTTTTTAAAAAATTAAGAATCTTCAAGCAAATGTTTGTTTTGTTCTTATAAGTGGCTTTCAAACTTTTTTCACCTCTATTAATAAATTTTACATAATAACTCAGTATCTATTCATACATACCAGATCCAAACAAGTTTTCATGAGAAAAGACATTCCCTAAACAAAAGGCAGTACAATGCTTTTATTTTCTGTTCAATTCTTTATTCTTTTTAAAAATGCATTAATAAAGGCTTAGAATTTAGCTCAGTGGCATAAGCATCTGCCTGGCAAGTGCGAGGTCGTGAATTTGACCCCTGATATCAAACAAATAAAAATAAAAAATGCTGATAAAGCCCTAAATTAGCCCTCACTAAAGGATCACAAACTGCAGAAAAACACTAAAAAAGTGAAATTCTGCATCATGTATTAGCAGATAACTATTCTTGTTCTAGTTTTACTCCAAAGAATATTCTATGGTAAAACAAAATAGCTACTGTCATTACATAGCATGACTTAAAGATTCATTATTTTTAAACTACCAGACAGCTCTCTGCAAACATGGCCAAGTCCTCATCATCCATGCTGTTTCCTAACAAGGTCCAGGACAGGACTTATTCAGGGTACCTCGCAGAGCCTGGTGAAGGCTAGACTCACCCAACTAACCTAAAATGTAGTACCCTGTAGAGAAATGATGAGGGATGACAGATAGTCTCATGCTGCAATCAAAAAGTAAACTTGAAATGTAGTTAGTACCAATTTCCTTCAGAAGGATATTTATGTGCTTCAGACTTTAAAACTGTATCACAAAGCAATTACTTGTGTTTACCTGTAACTTTTATTTCAGCAACTATATTTTTTGTGTGAGAAGCTCTATTTGGTTCATTTCCTAATCTGTCCATGATTTTTTAAACAGCTTTTTGTTCCTTACATAATACTTCAGAATCTGTACTCACCGTTCCTTTGTGGCTTATTCCTGAGCCCACTCCTCTTAGCAGGCTCTCCCTCTGCCTTGTATACACATTGTGTGAATTTTGAGGGTACATTCCATAAACCATATGTGGGAACTCTTTGGAGAGCCGGCTCACAGTGAGTTCTAGAGAATATCCTGCATTCATTTCTATCATCAATTCCAATTTGGTACTGCTTAAGGTTTGGTTTGGCTTCTTTTGTCCTAGGAATTGAGTTAGGCCCTTCACACAGCGCTGTGTCTCCAGGCTTTCTTTCCCTTATCCTTTCTTCCTTCTACCCATCCTTCTTGACAGGCTCTTGCTAAATCACCAAGTTGCCCAATTTGCTATATTTTTGTCTCAGCACCCCTGAGTACCGGGATTGTAGGCATGTGGGATACAGCTGGGCTTTAATTTTTTTAAAAGCCAAATCAAGGTATATTATGTATAGGTACAAAATCTATGATGAATGTGATCACTGTATGTTCTTCAATTGTACCAATAAATATAATTCAATTTAAAAAATTACATTCACATTGGGAAAAATCTGGGCTGAAATCCAAGTGTGAAGTATTTTGGGGGTCTAAACTGTGATTAGAGTAGATGTGTATATACTTATATTTTATATCTCTATCCAGAATCAAAGTTCTACAGGATCTGTTCTCAGGGTCCTCTGCGGGATATGGGACCCAGCATAAGTATGCAGTGTGTGCACACCCTGTGCGTGTGTGATTCTCTGGCCTGGGCTTTGTCTTCTATCTCTCAGGGTCTCTGAGCTGTGAAAACTAACGATATCCGTAGAACTCCAGGTTGCAGCTACCACTTCATTTTATATTTATTTTCTTCTGAGGTCATCTGAAAAACATTCTTTAATCTTAAACACTTTGAACAGTTTCCATTAGGTAGGTACATCTCATACTATAAAGCCAAGCAGCTTCACAAAACCAACAATTCACTATAAAGTGATATCAAATCAAATCTGTAGAGAAATTATTGTAATTCAGACTTTATTGCTTATTTAGTTGTATCATTCCACACAATTTTAGGTAAAGAGTTTGAGAAAATATACTGGGAGTATTAAACAGATGATGGCGATACTGATGGAAGTGTTCAAGTATTTGACACAGGTAATAAGAGGCACCACGGCCACCACCACCCCCAGAAATTTGTACATTTCGTATAAAAACAGTAAAAACAGTTCACTGGAATTCAATTAGTATTATTCTTTGTAATCTAGCAACCATGATAAGCCTGAACAGTTTCAAAATCTTAAGAGCAAAACAAAGATGTTTTTCTTCACTAGCAGAGGTTTCTTCAGAAACAGAACAAATCAACATAATGAAAATCACACACATACAGCCCTGAAAACAAGTTGGCATATTCTAGTTGGTACATTAATACTAATTCAAGGAACAAAATGTGATTCAGCTTTTAAAAGATTAAATTTCTTCACTGTAATTGTACTTACAATTTCAAACAATTTAAATGAACGAAACTTTACTTTGTAAAAACCAAGGATATTGCTCTTATGGTAAGGTAACTTGTTTAAAACCCCAGACACAAACTGCACAAGTATAACTTGACATACTAACAACCTACCCTTCCAGGTACACAGAAGTTCTAAATTCTTACAATGGAGGGGCTACACAAAGTCACTGTGAACCACACATACACATCGATGACTTCTCCTAGTAAAACAATGCCGATAGTTTCATCAATGACTTTAAAAAACACGTATAACAGTTCAGCATTTGAAAGACTTTTCTTGTGTATTAAAAAGATGCAGAGATTGATAAATACATCAATCTTGAAAGAACACTTCAAAAACAAGATTTGAAATGTAGTTGTGTGTTGAACCCATTTAAAGACCTCAGTTATCCAACAATTAAAAACACAACAGCAGATAAATAAGAATTTATTAAAATTGTTGTCTCCAACAATACAAAAATTAATTATTAAGGCATCATTTACTCCCATACTAGTATATGCAGCAAAGAGAAATGTCTTAAATAGTATTTACACCATCTTCTTCTTTTTTCTGTCTTTTTTATAGACAGATTCTCCCTAAGCATTCTAGGCTGGCTTCCAACTTACGATCTTTCTGCCTCAGTTTCCAGGATGCTGGAATTACAGGCCGAATTACAGGCCTGCACCATCACACCTTGCTTATGAAAATGTTTTCTAATGCATCTGGAAGATTGGTTTTTATACTGTCCTATTGTACATATCACTGAAAACTCACATGATCAAATGTCTTGACCCCAATCGAGAGGGAGTGCACTGTTGAAAAATAAAAAGTAACTATAAAGAGTATGATACAAAGTTCAAATACCAGTATTTAAATTTCTTTGAAGTAATTTCTGCTTCAGTAATTAAGCAAAACAAGAGATGAAGACTTTATTTAGGATAAGAAGCCTATTAATAAGACTCATGCTAAGAAGAACTATACACTCAATATTCTGCTTTAATAGTTTGAAGAGGGCTTCACACTCCTTCAAAAATTACCCACTAGAATAAGGTCATAGAAATTAACTGGTGATCCCCATATTTGTTCACTTACAAAGCTCAACAGGCTTTATAAAGTATACTAAACAGTAACACTTTCACCTCTGATTAAGGCAAATTTCCGAAAATAATTTAATACAACCAGTTCTCTACATGAACTTTCCACTTACATTTATTATGTAAGAAACATACAAAACTGTATTTTATAAAAAGCCACCTCAATACCAGAAAATAGTAATGAAAGATGTTGAACCCAGTTTACTTTTAGAAAGATGTTCTCTGTTTACGCCAAATTCCAAGTGCTAGTCTTCATCTTTAGAGCCAGTTTTGCTTAACTATAAAAAAAGAAATATTTAACAAGTTTAGGCATAATATTTGAGTCATTATTTTCAAGCAGAATCAAAACTAAAGTAAGAAGGTTTGAGTAAACTGAATTTTAATGATTTTATACAGTATATAACTACTTCCAATTTTAAGTTTAGCTTAAAATTGAAACTTTCAAACTTTTAAACTTCCAATAGGGTTAAAAATATAACCTCAACTTAAGTATAAATTTCCTTTGATGCACTCTAAGAAATAAATTAGAATAAATATACAAAAATCAGGTACTTTCATATAGTGAATGACATTCTTTTATTTTTGTTTTCTAACATAGACAATAATTTTTGAGGGGGTAGTGCTAAGGACTGAACCTAGGGTTTCATACACACCGGGCAAGTGCCCTAACACTGAGCCATACACTTAGCCCAAGAGACAACAAATTCTTTTTTTTTTTTTGGTGGGGGGCAGGGGGGTGGTTAGTACTAAGAATCAAACTCAGGATCTTGCCCTTGCCAGGCAGGCACTCGTGCCACTGAGCTATATTCCTGGCCCAAATTCTTTAAAAGTTTTTAAAATGTGGTTAAAAAAAACAAAAAACAAACAAAAACCCTTAACACAAGATCTGGTATTCTTAACCAGTCAATAAATTCTTAAAATATAATTCTGTGTGATCTCAAAAACTTAACAATGTGATTTCAAAAACTTAAATTGTATTATTATTATTATTACCACTACTATTTTAGATGCAATCTTTGGCAGGAGTTGGCAAATTTGGAGTAACACAAGTAAAATTCTCAAACAACACAAAGATAATTCTGATTAGAATAGCCATCTAATTACTAAGAAATCAAGGTACCCACCAACTCGTGAGAATTTAGGAAGCCATGAAAGTAGAAACTACTAAGGTAGTAGTTCTCAAACATTTTCGAATTTTTATACTGTTGAAAATTGAGACGTCTAAAGAGACTTTAAAAAGTTTTTTGAGAGACAGGGTCTGCCCAGGTGTAGCCCAGGTTGGCCTTGAACTCAGAGTGACCCTCCCGCCTCAGTCTCCTGCATGCTAGGATTACAGGAAAACACTACATATCCAGTTGTGTTTTTTGTCTATTTTGAGATGGGTCTCCCATTTCCCCATGTAGTGCAGGCTTCAACTTTGCTCATGTAGCCTAGGCTGGCCTGGAACTCACAATGATTCTCTCTTCCTCAGTCTCCTAAGAGCTGGGATTACAGGTATTATATTTTTAATTTGGGCCACCTCTACTGATATGAGATTAAAATTAAAATATTCATAAAGGGTAGAATAAATAATAATGAACTCATTATATGATATCCCAATAATATTTTTTAAAAGGGAAATTTTATTGGGTTATAAAAAACAAAACAATGTGAAAAGTTGTATTAATTTTTCATTTTTTGCAAATCTCTTACTTATCTAGCTCAACAGGAGTCTCATAAATCTATGTCTATAATAAAGAAGTACTGTGGAAGGCAACGTAACAAAAGTACTAAGAATAGCCTGAGTTAATAAAATATACTTTTAGATCCCCACATCTACTAACTTGAAAAATTCTGGAGAACAGAAGAATATATAAGCACACGCTCTCTTAGTGCTTTGGTAGAGCATTAGTGTGGCATCATCGCAGTTCATGCAACCGACCATGCAGCCAGTCACGCAGCTTCTCAAAAATGCCAGTTCATAGTCAGGACAAAATGAGTGAAAGAAAAGGCAAATAACATCTTAGTATGATGTAAACAGTTTTGGTCTTGCATATCCTCCTGATAGGGTTTTAGAGGTTTCCCAGGGGCCAGATACCACACTTGGAACCACTGGGGTAACAGTTTCTGAGATCAAACTATGTCTAGGTAAGTACCTTAAAAATATTCCTTTAGAGCCAAGAGTGTAGCTCAGTGGTAGAGCACTTGCCTAGCGTGAGTGAGGCCTCGGGTTTCTCTCCAGCACCACAAGAAACCAGTTTCCCCCCATTTCCCAAGATTACTGAGCTATTTTAATTTTCCTTATGATTATTGTTTTAAACTTGAATTTCCTTTTATATTATCAAGGATTCCCTTAAAAACAAACTTTTTGCACTAGGAAAGAAAGAATACAGTTTCTCCCTTTAGATCAACCAGATTATTTTCTTCTCACTTTTAGCTAAGATCTGCTGCATCAGGGAAGAAATATTCTGACTGAGAAAACTTAATTCTGCACAGAGTGTTTTGCAGAAAGAAAGGATTTAGCTGATGAGCTATATACAGGTATGAACTATGCAGCAACCATCAGTAGAAAGGGGCTATGTAAACAACAGAATCCCAGAGAAGCTTTATCTGTGTAGTCCTTTCTATGGGGTTTCTTTTGTCCAGAAAGATAGAAAGCAAAGTCTTTATGCTTTATCCTATCCCCAGATAATATTTTTGTGTAACATTCTAGAAGTACAAAGATTATTTCAAACAGTTTCTGTAGAAAATGAATACCATGGACCAAATGGCCAATTATAACATAAATTTCAAGCATACACTGCTTGCAAATTACTCACATTTATGGGTCCTCAATAGAACCCTTTTACTGTTGCATCATAACTAATACTTCTTATGGCAGTTGTGATATTAACTGACAAGTAAAAGCTAGTTCTATTACAAACAGAACTAATTTATTATGTTAAGTATTGCGACAGCATTTTTGAAACTACTATAGAGAGTACAATAAAATTGAAAAGAGGTTAGCAAAAAACTTAAAAGTAGGGAGTAAATGATTTTTAATAACAAAATCAGAAAAATATTTCTTGGTCATGATAGTCAACTACAGTTAAGGCAAGACTTTAACAAAGAATTTAAAACTTAAGAGTGATTCCTTCTCCTCCCAAAAAAGCAGTTCTTTCCATCACTGGTTTTCTTCAGTTCCCATACTATATATAATTTAGTCAGATTTCAACATGATCATTCTTAAGATGTACTTATGAAGTCGTATTTTAGTGTAGTTATAACTTGCTTATACAAATTTTTAATTATTTAAGAAAATAAAATCTAAAACTGAGGGTCTGAAAAAGCAAAGAATGTGAAGGTTATTTTTTTTTAAAAAAGTACTTACATGCTAAATGTTAAAAAGGAAATTCCCAGGAAATTCCAAGTCGCAGGGGTGGGAGGGAATGGAAAATATAAATGTCATTATTTGATGGCAATAATTGTAACAATTTTGAAGACTGAAGTATAACATTATATACCTTTACAACATCAACCCAGTTCCAGCCTCGTGGAAGTTCCCCTTTGTGATCTGGAAGATGAAACATAGTAACTTTGTAAGTCCAATCTGCTAATTTTAAATTAATATCCTAACCAATAAGATTTTGTACATTATTGTATACAAGAAATAGATTAGAAGTTTAAATCACATATTCCCATGGGTAAAATAGTTTACTATCTTTGTGAACTGAAAGCAGCTTCTTCCTGGATAAACCTGTGAAGTATTTGAGGGGCCTCTATTTCCCATTCAGAACAAAAACCTGTTATCTAGAGAAAATATGGACATGGATTGGGATCAATATATTGTTGCATGCATTTGCCCAATTCTGCTTTATCTAAGGTCACTGCTCATTTAACAAGTTGTGTTAGTTTACTGTTTCATGAGTTAGCATTTCACAACAGCATGTCAGGTTCAACACAGCCCATAAACAGATGCACGGCTTCAAAACTAAAAGGAGGCCCTGAGAACTTATGTATAAACTAGCTGTATCCTGATGATATTCATTTTTAATCTAACACTCTTCAAAAGGGGCTTACTGAGACTATCTGAAGGCAAGTTGTTAACTTTGCAAAAATCTGTCTAATATGTAGGCCACTTGCCCTCATTTCTTTTAACACTGTAATAAAAATATTTTGAAAAGTAAGGTTTGTTACTTACATATACTAACTATATCATGTTTCATTTATATTCAGCCCAAGACAATTACTATTTAAGTCACTGCAGCCCAGATGAGTCAAAGGGCAAAGTGCTTCCATTTTTTTTTTTAATACAGAACATTCTTATTCCAATTTAAAGAACATCCCAATTTAAAGAATAGTTTAACAAATATTATTTAAAAATTCTTCAATTTCAAATGCTTGATTCCTTTCATTGTCATGTAAATTATTTGTTTCATTTTATGAAGCCATCAAAATCCACATTCAAAACTAGTACATCATACAAATCACTCATACCTAATGTGAGAATCAAAATCCACAATCTGAATTTTTTTTAATAGTTTTGGATTTCGGAGTACTTCAGAATTTGGACTTTCAGATTAGGGATAGTCAACTGGTAACTATGCAAAAAAACCAAAATCTGAAAATTCTGAAATCTGAACACTTTTTGGTCTATGCATTTTCATTAAGGGATATCTAATGTGTTATTTTACAGAGAAAGAAACAGAAAGTAACCTCATGCTTCTTATAACAGAAATAGAGTATCACTGGACCTAAATTTTATTTATTTATTTATTTTTGTGGTACAAGAGATTGAATACAAGACTTCTGCACTGAGTTATATCACCAGCCCTTGCTAATTTTCTAGGCTACCTGTGAACCTGGACATTCCTGCCTCAGTCGGATAAGCATCTGGGATTACAAGTGTGTGCCTCTTTGCCAAGAGCTCAATTTTAGATAGTGATGATTCTTTTTTCTTACATGTCAATTAGACTCCCCTGGCTATTGGTTACAAAGGGCACAATGGCAGTTAACCAACTTCGGGTAATTAGGACTTACCCACAGTGCTGTCCTGTCTTATTAAACTCTCATTTAGAAAAATGGCTGCAAATTACAAACTCCTACACTGTCATTACAGGAAGATAATGACTAGGCAGACATCATCAAAGAGATGGAAGATAGGGAGAAGGGAGATACTGATGAAAAGAAATCATCATAGGTCACTGTGCATGAAAGCAGTACGTAACTTACAGATGCTGAAACATTCCAAAAAGAGAGTAATCAAACTTTTAGAAAAGACTGTAATGGCTAGCAGTTGATTAGTGCTGATTTGATATCAGATATAATAGATTCCTGGATTTAGATTTCACAAAATGTATTTTTAGATACTGACACAGGGTTGTTTCTTTTTATTCTGCCACAATAGACATCACACACAGACTACCAGCCCTAGTATCTATTTATAAAAGGACATTTTATTTTTTTAGGTTTTAATAATGCATTTGTTTAACCTAGTACATCTACAATAGTATCACTTCAGCATGTCATCATTTCAATATGCAATTCTGAATTTTAAAAATTGCCTCAAGTGATTTTTATTCAAAGTCAGGAAAATGGGAAGTACCAGTTACTCTGAAAGACTCAGAAGGAGGTCATTTTTTTTTTTTTTTGCGGTACCGGGGACTGAACTCATGACCTCGCACTTGCCAGGCAGGCGCTTATGCCACTGAGCTAAATCTCCAGAGCCTAGAAGAAGGTCATTTTAAAAACCATCCATTCAAATGAAAGTGTTAGTTCATTTTGGCAAAGGGCAGTTTGTAATCTTTTAACAGCATACACACATATATTGAAGTATAAATGTGTACGTGTACACGTGATAATGTTCCTTAAATTTTCCTAACAGGGAAAAATTTACAGACTCATACACATTTTCAAATTTCCAAATAAAAGAAAAGAAATCAAACATTGTTTGATGTGGAGTTTATAATCATTTTCTAAACGACTCTCATTTAGGACACATGAGAATTCTATTCCTATATCTTGTTGCAAAATCTTGTTATAAAAGCCCCCCTAAAAAGTTTAACTTTTACAGAAAAAAATTTACTATGCTAAGATCTAATGGTATACTAGACTTCATTTCAAATGAAAGATACACTTCACACAATTTTTAATAATACACATACTCATCACAGAGGTAAATGAAGAAAATCTCAGATATGTTAAGAGTGTACAAACAGGACATGTTTTTGTATAGTATTCTAATGTTCCTCAACCTCAAGACTTTGCCACCAAGTTACCTTAGTTTTCAATGATTATGTCTTATGATAAAGGAACAGTAACCATTTACAATATTTCAAGAGGTCTCCTGATCCAAATGTTTCATGAATGAAAAGCAGAAATTAATCTTCTAAATCCATTCTAAAAAGCAATCCATTTATTTGTATTGTAAAAGATTTTTAAAAATGACACAAACCTGTTTTATCTGCCAGCTTACGTTTCTGAGCTTTTGAAAGTTGTTCTTTTTTGTCTTTTTTCTTACTTGCTGGGGCTATACTAGGAGTCTCAACTGAGATGATATTGCTTATGGATGTCTAAAAAGAAAGAAATGGTTTTGACTCATATTTTAAAACTTCTTGAATTACACCAAACATCCTGAAATGAGCTGATAATCTCTAAACTTATGAAATAAAAGAATCCTATTATTATTCATTTATGAAATCAGTTTCCTCTAGCATATTATTGGTTTTACACTTTTAAAAATTTATATCAAAGGACACATTATAAGTGAAACAGAATGGTAAGGAGAAAAATCTAATTACCCACATTATGTTGAAGATCTGAGGTTCCAAGATGGCTTACAATTCAGTAAAGTTATATTTAGAAACTTAAGCTGTGTGCTGTTAACATGTTCTTAGCTGACCATTTTGGTCCCCTAAAGAAAATCTTTAAACCAGTTCAGCTCAGGTGGTCAATTTTTATGATAGCCTACATTTGAAATGCTTCCTAGGTGACAAACATTACTGTAACTGTTTTACATATTTCACTCACTTGATCCTCACTACAGTGGTATAGAATAGATGCTATTATGACTCACATTTCACTGATGAGGAATTGAGCAGAGAGATTAAGAAACTCACCTAAAGTCACAAAATAAACAAGCAGTGTAATGAGGACTTGAACCCAGACAGGCTGGCTCTCACCCCATGGTCTTGATTACCACTTTCTACTGCTCCCCCATCTACCTCTCAATTTTTTACCTTATGTTCTATTGAGAATGTGTAAGCCAGGACCACTCAAAAGACAAAAACCTGTGCTACCAAAAGCTACAGTTTGGTTCACAAGACAAAACTCTATCAACGTTGACTGCTGAAAGTTTTTATGCAACTTGGTGCATAAAATGCTTAAGGTCATAAAAGATGATTATTCCAAAATTATCCTAAAAATAAAGGAATTATTTTTTTCTACTCAAGTCTCCTTAAGCTTTAACACTTCGATGTTGAACAATGGCAAGAATATTTACAACAAGACTTGTAGAGAAAGCAACTTCATGTATACCAGCACTACACACTAATTACTAGCACTACATAAGAAACCCCATAGCTACTTAGGCTTTATGAAAAGATAAAGTAAATTTTAAAAGATATTAGGTCACACAGTCCCCTCAGGTTTTGGGCATAAGAAGTATTCTAGTCTTTGATAAAGGGTAAAAATCTAGAGGATATAGTTTCACTTTTTACAAATTGAAGAAATGTAAAATTCACTGTTCTTACTTGATATAGATATAACTCATTTAAAATATAACACGTCTTCTATTTTCAAAATATATTAATTAGCAAAAATTAATTACTAGCAGACCAAAGCCAAGACAAAAAAGATCTGGTTAAAAAAAATAATCACATACTCACTGTAGAATTAATAGGACGGTGATTTTCCATGAACTGCTCTTTATTGTCTTTGGCATACTCAAACAATGTATAGGTCATTGCGGTTCCAAGATTAACTTCTACTGCTTCCTGTAACTTGGCTAATATACTCTGCTTTACAGCTGATGAGCTGCAAATGCCAAACATACTATTAGGAGGACAGTAAAATAGAGAATAAAATGAAAAAAACATGAAATAAAACTACTCACATGGTGTTGTTAAAAAAAGCGTTCATAGATATAATTGGAGGTGTTTGGGGGTACGTTTCTGTCCATGAAATCTCTATTAAGAAGGCTTTGGGATCACCGTTTTCACCTATCTGAAGAAAAGGGAAATCTTAGGATGGTGAAAGGTGACAAAAAGACAAAATACCAACTTACATGATTTTTAAAATAATTCTTTTCAAATCATGCTCAGAACAGAAATGTGATAGTTGGGAAAGTTCAGGGATACGGGATAAGTTTACACTCATGGTCTGGCTTTCAATTAACCCACCAGCTTTCGCAGTACCAGAATAAGTACTTAGCATTCCACATTTTTTTAGGCTTTCACCAAAGTCTTCTGAGGATGAAGACATTAACTGGGAGGAACAAGAACAGAATGGATAGAGGGGCTGGGGATTTAGCTCAGCGGCATAAGTGCCTGCCTTGCAAGCAGGCAGTCATGAGTTCGATCCCTGGTACCGATAAAAAAAAAAAAAAAAAAAAAAAAAAAGATAAATAAGAACAGAATGGATAAAAATAATAGTCCATAAACTTAAGAGAAACACCTAATCTTTCTCTTAAATTTTTCACCTGGTAAATCACAAAAGGCGTTAAGAACAGATAAATCAATGTATATATTACCACAATCTCAAGAGATCAGGAGCTGAAGTAAAGGTGAGAGAAAAAAAGTGAGAGAAAAAAGAAAAAGGCAAAGGAAACAGAAAACAGAAGACCTTAGGCTGGACAAAAATTCCTCAATAATTTAGGATCTCAGCTTTTTATTTAAAAATTCTTTAATCTTAAAAACTGAAATAGTACAATGAAAGCTATTATTCATTTAATATGTTTTGCATCATTTACTTAATCTCCCTTTCCACCAAGTCAATTTCCACTCCACAGATGTGTTTGATGTTTTGATGTAATGAAATGTCTTCAGATATTTATAAATAAAGAGTCCTAAGGACATCCTCTTTTATAACCACAAGACCATTATAACACCCAAGAAATTCAACATTGATACAAAAATGTTGTCTAATATATAATTCATATTTAAAATTCCCCAATCCTATCTAAAACGTCTTTTAATAAACATCACTTTTAATCCACAAATCTGTAAGTCCACTGAAGCATCATGGGTTGTATTTGGTTGTCATGTTTCTTCATTCTCTTTAAATTAGAACAGCCTTTCTCCTGTTTTTAAAATGTTGTTTATGACAGTAAGAATTCAGTCCAGTTTTATTGTATGACACTCCCAGTTTCCTCTCTTCAGATGAAACATTTTTGGTAAGGGCACTATATATGTCATGTAGTATACTTCACAGCATCATGCAAGAAGGCATGCAAGATCTAAATTCATCACTGGTGACACTGAGTTTGATCACTTGGGTAAGGTAACATTCTTCAGAGGTCTTTGATATAATGATTCCTTCTATTTTGCAGCTGAGAAGTAATCTGTGGGGTAATACTATACAACTGTGTGAATACCACATATTTTATCATCTACTAGTGATTCTTGCCTGAATCAATTATGCATTATAAAACTATAGAATAGTTCATGAATCAGCATCTCATCCTGGTACAGGGCTACGCTAATCTCTTTTGATATTTTTATATATTTGCTATTTGTTTAAAAAGAATTGTAAATAGCAGCAGTATTTTTCACCTCAAATTACTTGATTCATTTTTATATTGTTTTATTTTATATTCTGTCCAAAGTTTTTCATTCTGAATCCCTTACCTTCAATTATATATAAGGTGAGGCTCATCAAATAAATTTAGGTATATGTTGATGATATACCTATATAAGTTGATTATGTACGTAATGCAAATCTTCGGTTTATGCTTGCTTTGATTAGTGATTAAAAATGATAAAAGTTGTGAGAGACTGCTAAGCTGCATTCCCCTGAGAAATGAATTCCCTTGTCTCCATCTTTTACCTAATCTTTACTTCAACCTTATTTAACTGAGATAAACACAAGTGGCTATATAGAAGCAAATGTCCCCTTAACTGGCTAAAGAATGTGATCAAGTCCATCTGAGGCACCAGTGTCTCACTGCAGCAACGTGGGTTAGACTTGTCACTCACTGACAGCTGGAACAGATGCTCAAGCAAAAGCCTATGAAATTCTAGGGCTAAGATATAACATTCCAGCCGAGGCCATGAAACTCAAAAAAATTTATACTTTCCTGGCAGTAAAGGTGCCAGCCTTGCATACATGAAGTTATCTGTTGCACTACTAATTGGAAGGCCTCTGTGCCTGGTGCAAACGAGTGCTGTTGGTCTTTATATGCCAAGGCTGCCCAGTTTCTCCTCCCATGCACATTGCTGTAATCCCCACCCACCTCCCTGATTGGTAGCAATAAAAGCCATGAGCATTCTGACTGTCGGCCCTTAGTTCCATCAAGAGCACTGGGTCGTCCCAGAGCCCCAGGAATTGCAGATTCTTCTCTCTTCATCTTCTTTTTCATCTGTGTGTCATATTGCTAGGTGGGAAACCTGAACCATCTGCAAGAGTTTCAATAAAAAGTTGCTCTATGCAATCATGAAATCTTAACATATATTTAGGAACAAATTGCCACATGTCTCACACTGTGTTAGGTGAGCATACCATTTTTGTCTTCAAGACATAAGACACTTGTAGTATGAATAATGGTTTCAAAGTGACAGAGCAAGATACAAAGAAATGGGGAATGGTTAAGTCTACTTGAAAGTCAGGGCAGAGATAGAGACATGGGCCAAATATTTTAAAGAGAAGGTTTCAGTTGGACCTTAGAAAAGTCAGATAGATAATAACTGGGAGGTGAAGTAAACAGTGAACAATGTGTGCAAAAACAAAACACTAAAAAGTGCTTCATCAAAATATTTAGTAATCCTGTACTGTCTAATGGGTATCAGTGGCTGTGAAAATTTGGTGAGGCATTTTTTAACACACAGACTCTGAGCATTTAGCTAAAGGATTTAGTCCTTACTTTACAGGAGAGAGAAATCCATGGAGAAAACTTATGGGTTGACTATTTAAGAGTTTTAGATAATTCACAGTCTACTGGAGTTTAATGGTGGAGACTAAGAAGGAAGCCAAACGAAGAACTGAAAATAGAGAAGTCATTTAGGAGCCTGCTGAACTATTCTGTACAAGAATGGAGGGGCTTGACTAGGACACAGGCAGAATTCTAACCCAATTCCTTTGACTGTCAACACACTATCCTCAATCCCATGTTTCCTTCTTCAGTCCATCCTAGAATGCACATGTCCTAGAGTAGTCTGCATGTTGTGTTCAATAAATAATGCTGTTAATGGAGACATTTAGAAAAGCACAGGGATATTTTCAAGCTCCTATTTGCTCAGAGGAGGTTGGTGGCAATTGGGAAAATCTGGGAGGCAGTTAGACTCAAACAGAACGGTCTAGGACTTAACTCCATCATTTACCTTTATACATTAAAAGTCCCCTAGTTGTTGGATACATGGGTACTGTACAGAGGTTGCTGAGCTTAAGAAGGAATTGAGAATTGCTGAAAAGGAAGAATATCCAAAAGAAATAATTATAAGAATGTATTCCTGTGAAAGTCTACAATAAATCAGGTATAAGGATCATTACTTTTACAATTTTATTTAGTGGGGATAATGTTCACAGTAACTTTTACAAGAGTTCCAGAAATCTTTTATAAAGGTCCTTTTCATTACACTATTATATATGCTTATTTAGATAAATGACTTACATTATTTACAAACTAAAATACTAAAAAAAGTATCATTTTATGTTGAAGACGCATTATAAACAACTTGCATTTTAAAGAAAAATCCATGTTTCATACATGCTAAAAATATCCGTATGTATTTAGAATACATAATTTTAAGATATCAACTTCTCTTTACTATATAATAGATTAGTAGACTTAATACTAGAATACTAGACTTAATACTAGAATTCTAGACTTAATACTAGAATTAATACTAGACCTAATATTAGAATTCTAGACTTAAGTCTAGAATACTAGACTTAAAATACAGACTTGAACTTTCATCGTAATATGTATCAGTATCAACTGTGGCAGTTTAAGAAGCTATGACAAAGTCATTTTTTTGTTTGTTTGTTTGTTTGTTTTTGTCTTTTTCAGTTTTTTATTGGTACCGGGGATCGAACTCACGACCGCCTGCTTGCAAGGCAGGTGCTTATGCCGCTGAGCTAAACCCCCAGCTCCAACAAAGTCATTTTTAGGGCAAAGTAAAACCATAAGATTTCTAAAGTTCTTCTATTTTTAACATCTTATGACTGTTACAGTAAAACTAAGTTGTCTTTTTTTTTTGGAACTGGGACTTTGCACTTGCCAGGCAGGGCCTTACACCATTGAGCCATATCCCTGGCCCCATTTTTGTTTTTTAAAAGAGGTTCTGAATGAACATTTCACGGGTTAAGAATGATTAATGTCATGGTGATAAATTTTCATTTAAATGTTTTAGAAAGTAGATTCCATAAATTTAAACCATCAATTAAAAAAATCAAAATCGGCATTTTGGGGATAATGTTTAGTTTTTTAGTTTGTTTTTTTCCCCTAGTAAAGCATCAAGCATACTTATTCATGCCATATCTTACCCTATATTGAAATGAAACTGGACTTAATTCCCGGAAACTTTCGTCTCCTTCGTAAATAGAACGTAAGGCTTCCAGTTCCATCTGAAAGAAAAAGATCAATGAGTTTTGTTTAATGATATAAACACATTAGAAACAGTTTTTAGTTTCTGATTCAAGCCCACTCACAGTGTATAATGGCAAATTTATATGGCTTTAGATATTTATGATATATGTAAACACTAATACTTCACTATTATACTAATACTTTAAAACTATGTGTCAAGCATTGCCAAACACTTTCCACTGTATCACCTCACTAAATTTTCACATCAGTCCTGTGAAGAAGATGCTATCACCTTATCTCCCCTTCCTAACATGTAAGAAAACTAAAAAAAAAGTTTTTGAAAATAAGAATTCTTAAAAAGCAACTCCACAGTATACGTACTCTTTATTACTCTCCTGAAAAGTACCTAGGGAAGGAAAAAGCACTAAACTTCAGAAATAAGAAGCACAATATTTTCCCATTTTTTACACAAATCGTTCATATCTGTAATTTTTTCCACAGAATGTTACAACACTTAAACGCTAAAGAGCAAAAAAAAAAGAACTTTAAGGAAATATGGACAGGATCTACTCAAGATGGGGGACAGAACTGCAAGAGAAAATGTAACTAGCAATTCTTGCCTAAAAATATTTGTTAGAACACTGCAGTATTATAAATGAGAAATATCAATTACTGTTAGAGATAACTGATTAATCCCATGGAAAAAAAGCAAAGACAATGCTCTTGGGTATATGTTTTAATTCAGAAGATTTATGTCATAAATTCTATAAATTAAAAAAGGTGACCTTGATCTAGGAAGACACAATTTTAGACTAGATCACCACTTTTTTTTTGATGATGATGATGATAAGCTTAAGATAATCAGGAAAAGTGAGGAGTAATTTGTAAGATCTACCAGGCATATGCAAAACAAGATCTATATAACCCTTCCAAGAGAGGGTAACTCCACTAGTAGATGAGAAAAAAGCACTAAACTCAGTTTATCTAGATTTCACAAGGTTCCACAAGTTGCTCTTGCTCCTCTTACAAAAAACACTAACAATAACAACAGATATGATGCCATTCTTAATCTTTTCCCATATTTTAATTAATGGCTTGGATAGGAGCAAAAATAGAAGACAGGTTAATTAAATTTGTAAAAATTTGTGGATGATAATTTGATGAAACAGTGAATCATGCTGCTTATATAGTAAGAATCAAAATGTTCTTGAAAAACAAACCAGTGAAAAAGTTAAGGGTAAGCAGAATTTGTAGTTACACACCTAAATATCCAAGTAAAGAATGAAAGGCTGTTTGCTTTATATAAAGTATTCAAAAGGTGTCAGTTGATAATAAATCAGAAAATACTGTGATGCCAGTTTTAAAATGGAGCATAAGTAAATTTAGAACTTGTCTAAATTCTAGTATTTGTCCAAAATATTCAATTCTGAGATAGTACAGGAATGGAAAATAACAGACTTCTGAGGAAAAGCTAACAGGAACCATTTTATCTGAAAAGAGGTCTTAAACACGGGGCAGAAAACTGAAAATATCCTTGCATCCATTCCCAGAAGGAACAGAATTTTGTTAGGCTATAATAGAAATTCTGACTCGGCTGGTCTGAGGTGATGTGCAGACTTTTTTTTGTCTTTTTTAACGACCACCCATAGTGGTCCACGGGTCAAACTTTGAGAAATATTATGTTTTATGCTTTGCAGAGAGGTGGTTACTTTTAATTGGCATATAAAAATTGTACATATTTATAGAGTACCATATGGTACTTCAATACATGTATAGATTACAGGACCATCAGAACAGCATATCCGTCGACTTAAACATTCACCATTTCTTTGTAGGTGAGACCATTTGAAATCCTGCTTCTAACTATCTTGAAATACATTACCCTATGGGTTACTGTGGTCAGTCTACTCTGTAATTCAACATCAGAATTAGTCTTCCTAATTGTAACTTTGTATTCACTGATTTCTCTCTCCTCTTCTCTTTCCCAAGAGTCAAAACTATTAATGCCTTGTTTGCCTAAGAATATTTTAAAAGGGTACTCAGACATCTATTAGCTTGTTGGATTTTGGCTTCTTTAAAGAAAACTTCCAATCTATTACAACTATCATGTAAAAACACTAACTTTTAAGCTGTAGCTTTTGAGCAGCAGTGAGCTACAGCTTAGTCATACTACCCAAAGAGACTTGAATTCTAATTCTACCACATACTCTTTTGCAGCCCCGAGACACTGATTTCCCTATTTTAGACACTTTCCCTCATGCACATTCATTTCAAAATTTTAAGGCTCCCCTACAGCTGACTGTAGCATCCTAGCCTCTTCAACTCTGTATGATTCAATGTCAAACTGACATTGAAACCCCAACAGGTAAACCATGGAGTTCAGGTGATATACATACACTTAGAACTGATTTTGCACCCACTGGCAAAGTAACAGGCGGATAAATGATTTCACTCAACAACGCAGAGGCCAGAGACACCACTGTCATTTTCCTTCAGCAGAAATTTAACACAACAAACTCTCTTTTTAACAACCAACAGTTTTTAAAATTAAAGATGACCGCATTCTCAGACGGCCACACACTAGGATTGCCAGCCCTGCTCGCCAAGGTTGCGTAGTAAGGACACCCACGCTTGTGAAGGAAACTCCCAAATTTGCAAAAATGACAAACCAGGGGAGAAGAGGGGGAGACCGGGCAGTCTCTTGCCCACTCACGTCAGCCTGGCCTCTCCTCGCCGGGTGGCGGCGCGCTCGGGGCACCGGGCCCGGCTCGGAGGGGGTCCAAAGCGAAGCACACGTGGGGCGCCCGGGGATGCTCGGATCCCGGCCTCGGGCTCGGCCGGCCAGGGGCGCTCGGTCGGCGCGGGGAGAGGAGGGCGCTCACCTCTTGGTCCTCGTTGGCGCTCATCGCGCCAGGAGCCTCTCAGGGCGACCGCGCTCGCCACTACGTGGAGAAAGCGAGCACAGTGGCCCCGAGGCCAGGGCTTCCCCTTTCCGTGCCTCGGTTGCGGGGTGGGGAAGCACCCTCTTTAGCAGCGGCAGAGCCAAGATCACGCGCAGCCCTTGTCAGCGTGAAGCCGGGGACATTGAGGCGTGGGCCAGAGGCCGGGCGACATAGGTCACTGTGGCGGTGCGTCCCAGCGTCCTGGGAGAAGCTGTAGGGCGGTAACGGCGGAGGCTCTGCCTTCCTGATTGTGGCTTCTCCTATTGGCTTCTTTTCTCTCCGCCCCCAGCTCGTTCACCTCTAGGAAATGGAACGCTTTCCTTACGTTTTGAGTAGCAGCGCAAAATTCCAGGTTGCTATTGGTGGAGAGCACCGTCACTCAGACTTCAAAGTGCTTCCTGTGCCTGCGGAGGTGGGGCAGAGGAAGTCTAGCTTGCTAGAGACGCCTCCGGCGTTGTGGCCTCTACGGCAGGCCCCGGCGTTCTGTGACACTCCTGCCCACCTCCTCTTGTTCTCCCGGGCTGGCAGGGATCGACCACAGTTGCAGCGGGCCTAGGGCGTGCGTCCGGGGTGAGTCCAGGCCCAGAGATGTGCGGGACCAGGCCAGACCGCCGAAAAAGAGGGCCAGTCCTGATCATTGCTAGTTAAGGCCCCTTTTTGCTAAGGCATCAATAAGAAGTGAATCCTGGCGCTTTTCATTCAGGCCTAGAGAAAAACGCGTTTATTTCTAAGGCTGTCCAGAGGATGGGGTTAGAAGAGGAGGAAAGTTTCCTCTGCCTTTAAAGTTGCAAAGTTGTTTCTCCTCCTTTGCTGTTTGTAGCTATCAGGCCAGAATAAACATTGCGGTCATGTGGATGTTGTCTTTTCCTAAATTGGATTTTGGTTCACATCCTCAACATCAGCTCCCCTCTACCCGTACATTTTGGCCCAAACTATCTTGTTTTGCTCCTTTTATAGTCTGATAGCTCTTACTAGCCTGTGCCCTGCGCTCCAAACTCCAGTCAATTAAAACTAATAACTACATTCTTTTTTACTTGCCACTTTGATTGGGTCAGCTTCCTTATAATCTTCAGTGTTAGCTTCCAGATTACTTCTCTCCCACTACATGTCATCTTTCCAGAATGTGCACTTAATCACTTTCGCACGTCCTTCAGTGTCATGCTTTGGTTAGTTTCTCCGTTGGCATCTTGTAGGAGGTCCGGCGATTTTTCCTCCTTCTGCTAGCAGAGATCCATTCATCCGACACTTTTTATCGGTGTTCTTCCCATTTTCATCCCTTTTGCGGTGGAATAAGCATGGCCATTTCAAGTGCCAAAGCTCTGAAAGTAGGAGATGGCAGGAATTTCTAACACGATTTTCACACGGTAATTCTGGAACACATTTACTGTGATTTAGACCTTCACTGTCCAGAGGGGTAGTCAATGGTCACGGTGGCAGTCGAGTGCTTCAGCTAAGAGAATGTGAATTGAGATGTGCTGTGAGTATAAAATATACACCAGATTTTGAAGACAGTACAGAAACGTAAAATAATTCATTAATAACCTTATGTTAATGTTTGAATAACATTTTTAGAAATTCTGGGTTAAATAGAGTATTATTAAAATAATTTCCAAACATTTTATTTTTTTTAATGTGACTGCTAGGCATTTTCAAAGTATGTGATCCATAATGTATTTCTCTTGAGTGGCTCTGATTTAAGGCTTTGTAAGTAATTCCTAGTTCCCCATCTCTTCTCCATATTCAAAGACTACAGCTGTTTCTTTGAGTTTCTGGGTTTATTAAGGGAGATAGACCTTTAGAACTCTAGGATAGACTCTGGTGTTAAGCAAAGGTACCTATACTATTTAACCACCTCTTTTTATTTTCATTCCCAAATTCCTTGGAACTAAGGCATTCCTTTCTCTCATAGCTTAATCCAATGTTGACATTTATCATTTCTGACAAAATTTCCAAATCATTTACTCAGAATCCATTATTCTGTCAGTACTTAAATATGATGCTTACTAGGCATTCCTAAACTAACTTTCACTTAGAAGTATTGTATATTTTAGGATTCAAGTGGTGGTATAAGTGTGCCTCATTTTTCACACATCATATTTGACTTCTGTAAAATTTGTTGGTGGAGATCACCTGTTGAAAGAAGCTCATGATGTGTCTTTTTGGAAATCACAAATAATTTTTTAAAGTATAATGATAATTTTGTTTAGAATCAGCACATCTTTTATATAATTGGTTTTCTAAAGTAAATACATGCTTGAATTTATTATAGACTCAGCACTCGGCTAAAGGCCACAGTAGATATATGTCCTAGAGGTTTCCATGCATTATTTTTCTCTTACAGTTTTTCTTTTTAAAAAGTACCTTTTATGTTATGGGAAAAATTTATCTATTATTTCAATAACAAGCATCTTTTAATATCTTAGGCATTGAGAAATTAGGTGTTAGTAATTAGAGAATATTGTACTTTTTAGTACATGTAAGTCAATAATTTTTTTTATTCTTTATGGCTGAAATGAGCCATACACACCTATTTTAATTTGATTACTTTCCTACTTTCTTGGTCTGTGAATCCCAAAGGTTGGGATACATTTTGAGATCTTAGTGGAAATAATAATTTGCTTAAATACTAGATAAACATAGATGTAGACATTAGTTTTTGAAACTGAATGAGTTGTCGTTTTCATTTCAGGTTTTTCGCGACACCTTAAACATGAGCCCCACACAGTGGGACTTTCCTGTGGAATTATGTTGTCGGCCTATGGCTTTTGTTACACTCACAGGCCTAGATGTTGTTTACAATGCTGTCCATCGAGCAGTCTGGGATGCTTTCTGTGCCAATCGGAGAGCTGATCGGGTACCAATTTCTTTCAAGGTGCTCCCAGGTGACCATGAATATCCTAAATGTAGACCCAAGGTAATGGCTTTAGGATGGTACGGGTTTTTCCCTGTGTGTGCATATGTATGTGTATCTTGTTTTTGTTTCCATTGTGTGTCCTGAAAAATCCTTGAGTTTATCAATGGATACTGTAGTACATAAAGAAAACCTTAGGCATTTTCATGTACTGTGAAAACATTACATGTATATTTAATAATAGTTATTATTTTAAATCCCAGAGGAATAGTGATTTCAAAAAGATTTCTAGTCAGTAAGCCTGTTTTCTTTTTTTAATTTGTAGGGAAAAAACCTCTCATGTCTCCACAGTTTTACAACTTATTTTAGTTTGAGTAAGCCTTCCCATTTCCTGCTTATTTCTAATATTATAGAATCCATTTTCTTGCAGATTGGTTCCATTTCACACTTACTTTTTGAGGACTTTCTTTGTTTTGGGTAATTAGAACTACGCAATAATCAGATGATACAAATTTACATAAGATACACTCAGTATGTTTGGGGAATTATATATGGTACTTCATTCCATATAGAATGAGGAAAAGTATTAAATTCAAAACTGAGCTTTAGCCAGCTGTGTGGTTACACAGCTGTAATCCTTCCACTCGAGGAGACTCCTTGGCTTTGCCTATCCTTTCTTAAATGGGAAGTGTAATGTTTCTAGGGTTGAGATTCTACCTCCAGCACTTGCTGTCTTAATCTCTGTTGGCATCATTTTCTTGTCTTAAAAATGAACAGTGTTCATATTGGATGAAATAAATGCACATGAAGTGCTGGGCCCTCAATAAGTAGTTCCTGCTGCTATTTTATTATCCAATAACTAACTTAACCACTGTTTGCAGAGAACTTCGTATGAGTGGTACATTCCTAAAGGGATCTTAAAGACTGGCTGGATGAATAAGCATCTGAATCTGGTGCCAGCCCTGGTGGTTGTATTCTATGAGCTGGACTGGGATGAGCCTCAGTGGAAAGAAAAGCAGTCTGAGTGCGCAACCAGAGTGGAAATCGTCAGGTAGGCTCTCTGTTTCCCAAGTTGGCAGTGGTAGTTTGCAGATGTCTGCTATTTACTAACATTTGTGGGAGAGTTCAGCTTCTGTGATCATTTTGGGGATTGTTGCCTTCCAGTTCCTGATCAATAGGTTAAGTATTATCTATTTTTAATGTTACAGTGTGTGAAGAAATTTAGAAGACAAATTGGTCTGAATTTCCAGTTTTTGTTTTCTTGCATTGATAATGTTTTCTGGAGACACAGAAATTTACAGTTTGTCTCATAAGACACCAACTTTAATGGTATTCACTTTTAAGAATTCTTTTAGATGACTAATGTATGACTATAAAGAAAAATTGTATTATAATTTTACATAGGTAATTTTACATAAAATATGTATTAAACTTTCACTTTTAAAGTGTGTCTAATGTGTCATATGAAGAAGCAAATTGTATTATAAATTTTACGTAGAAGTATTTATTAAACTTTCACTTGGTACTTGCTTGACATTGAACCCACAGTCTTCACACTGAGCTACTTCCCCACCCCTTTCTTATCTTTTATTTTGAGATGAAGTCTTGCAAAGTTGGTGAATTACCCAGGTGGGGCTGAAACCTGCGTCTGACCTCTGCCTCCTATTATAGGAATATGCTCCTGTGCCCATCAATGTTCTGCTTTTAAAATTGAAATTATTATTGTGTATGTTGTTTATGTTTAGGAAAGTAGTTCTCTGCTCTTGATCTTTTTAGTTGAATTTTATCTTCAGTTGAATTATCAAGCTTATACTTTATGTAAAACATTAAATACATTGAGTTGAAACTAATTAATTAATTTTATTATTTTTTTCCATTGCAGACAGAGTTTACAAGGAAGAAATACAAAAGTTGCAGTGGTTTTGATTCAGAAGAAAACCCCTTTGCCCCCAGGTATCAAAAGGTTAATTAGTTACTTGCTGTATACCTTAAATTCTTACTATCAAAGAGTAGTCTTTTAATGTTTAAATTATTTATGCCTTCAGTCTCAGGGATAATAGTGTGCTAATTTTAGAAAGTACCCATGCATGAATCAGTATTTGTGATAAAAAAATAAAAAATATGAAAGGTTTGGAGGCACATATCTGTAATCTCAACAGTCTGAGAGACTGAGCCCAGAAGCAACGTTGAGTCCAACCTGGGTAATTCAGCAACTTTGCGAGTCTTCACTTCAAAATAAAAAAAAAAAAAAAAAGAAAGAGCTGGGGATGTAGCTCAGTGCAAAGGCCCTGGGTTCATTCTGCAGTATTGCACAAAAAACAAAACAAAACAGAAAAAACTCCCACCAAAATCGTGATGACTGCAAATCTAACATTATTCTTCCAGTTATATTTGTTTCCCCTTATAGACATGTATCAATAGACAAAGTAGTTCATTATGCTTTTTTTTTTAATGTACTTAGCTACCTGTGATCTATTTAAAATTTTATTTCATATGTGAAAAAAATGCTATAGGGGAAAAAAAAGAAAGAAAAATGCTATAGGGGCCCAGTGTGATGGTGCACACCTGTAATCCCAGACTCAGGAGGCTGAGGCAGGAGGATCACCATGAGTTTGAGGCCACCATAGGCTACATAGTGAGTCTAAGGCCAAACTGAACTACATAATGAGGCTCTGTCTCAGAAATAAACAAACAAAAAAATCAAAACAAAACAAAAATGCTGTAGGACTTATAATTTCGCCTCTGGAAAAATGTTTTCTTTTTAAATCCTGATGCCTTTGCCTGCCAGAATTTTCATAGGCTAAAATATTTTTTGCTACTGTTGTTTTATTTTGAAATTTGTAGTGTCCTAAGTGGTTTTGGAAACTTCTTTCATGAACTGTTTCTTCCATTTTTAGTTCTGTTTCTTTCTTTCTTTTTTTTTTTAAATTTTATTTAAGGAAAGACTAAGCAAAACAGAAAACTGGTAGAAATAATACATATTTTTAAAGAAAAAAATAAACAGTAAGAAATCACTAGTTGATGATTACAGATTGTCCTCTTACAAATAGTTATTCAAGATACTAAAATGGAGCATATAAAGTGAGGCAACCAGTTCTAATCTGGCCCGCGGATCAATCCGTGGGGTGTACCTGGAGGGGGAACGGGAATGAAATAGAGATAGGGGAGAGACAAAGAAAGATTGAGACAAGATGAGGATTCCAATCAAGCCTCGTTTATTCAGGAAGTGATCACATCTTTTATAGGCCAAGGGCGGGTTGGTGGGACAGGATGAATACAACAGGGTCATCGTCACGTCCGGGTATGTGATGTAAGCAGGAGAGGATTATGGTTAATGTAGGCAGGTGCATCTTATGCCCATAGGAGAGAGGTGCGGGGAGCAGCAATGGGGCGGTTGCGCTGCTCCCTACATCTCCTCCCTTTCTATATTATTTAATCAGGAGTATGGCAGGCCCTGTGAGGACAGCGCCTGTCTTAGGTCAAGGAACCTCATTACATGAACCCAACCAGGCCTTACCCGTCATGGGCTTGCAGGACAGCAGTTGGTCCTGTGCCTGTCTTAGGTGGCCAGTGGTGTAATCATGCATGTCCTAGTTGCCCGTCTCTGGCTGCCTGTCCATTGCCCCAGGGCAGTTAGGCCACATCGTCATATGGGCCACTTGTGGGAATTCCTTCCCGGTAGGTTTGTTGATCTGCCATCTCCAGCTGGTGATAGTGTACCTGAATGGGCTCTGTCATAAACGTGTCTATCCGGTTATTAATGAGCATCATAATCCTCTGAAAAATACAAGGACCTACAGAAAGGAGAAGCAACAGGGCAGCTAGGGGACCCAAAAGGGGCGCTAGGTAAGGGAAAAGTACCCCCCACATCGAGGAGAAGGGGTTAGCAGCCATTTGTTGTCATCGCTGTTGAGGTCGTTCTTCTATTTCTTGGAGCTTGCGTTGCATAACACCGGACTGATTGACATAGAAGCAACATTTTTCCGCAGTCTATTTGGCTGGTTTGTGTTCCTCCAGACCGAAAAGAGCCTCTTCCGCAGTCACAGGGGGTGACTGAGCATGGTTGTCAGTAGTTGTAGTCTGTTTGGCAGGGGTCTAAATCCACCATGGGCGTGGTACAGTCTGAGGAGAAGGCTGAGTAGGCAGCATAAGGCTCCGGGGGGTTATGTCATCTGTAAAAGAGCATAGGGAGTTGTGCCTCAGGAAATGACATTATTCCTGAGCGTCGCATGGGGTCTTTGAAGAACTGTCTATTTGTTTTACAAGGTGCTAGGTAGCCATCTAGCCTTTCTGGCTTGTTGAGAGTAAACACCTACTAAACCTCGTCCCCATATGAGAACGCGGTCAGGGCCATGCTATGAATTAGTCAGGGGGTCTCTCCATAGTACAGAAGCAAATTGCTTTTGTGTTTCAGTATGCCAAAAACGCATGGCTGCTGACTATCCAGAAGCATCCAAATTTAAAAAATTAAGGATGAATAAGGCATGAGATAGAATATTTTTAGGTGTCTCCCTTGTGGAGTACCATTCCCCCCTTTTTTATTTTATCAACAGTGAGTTTTAGGGAAAGATGTGCCCTTTTAACTGTGCCTTGACCTTGAGGGTTATAAGGTATGCCTTTTATCTGATCAGTATTAAGATGTTGACAGAAACGAGCAAAGGCAGAACTAGCATAGACTGGGGAGAGGTATAAATGAAACTACTAAAGATATCTATAGTTATATGAACATATTTAAGATTGCCAAACTCAGGAATGTGGGTGACATCCATTTGCCATAATGCATTAGGGATAAGTCCTCTAGGATTAACTGTGAAGTGTGGAACTGGGAGGTGCATGGCACAAGAAAGGCAATGTTTTATTACCTGTCTGGCTTGTTTTCTAGTGATCTTAATTCAGAATTACAGAAAAATAAATGGTAAGAAATCACCAGTTGATAAGTTACATATTGTTATCTTAGAAATAGTTGTCCAGGTTACAAAATTAAAGCATGTAAATGACATTTAAACAGTGACACTGCCAACAGTTCTGTTCAATGATCCAACAAAAACCCAGTAATATGGTTATCAGTCCTACACACTTGCCTTCCATCTCAAAGAGGGCAAGACCAAACATATCAAAACAGAACAAAACAGTTTTAAAAAAGACTTAGAGAAATACAGATTTTAAAGCAAGTCCACTAGAGATCTTCATTGTTCATCTAATTGTCTCTAGTTTCCTCCAAACAGTTGTCCCCATCTTCACGCACATTAAATACACACTGCATATAATAGAACTAATCAAATCATTACAGGATGATGAAGGCTCCTCAGGTTTTTAAGATCTGACATTGGAGAAGACAATAATAACTATCATAGTGTCTCTCATTTTCCTCTCAGCAGCTGTCCCCATCCTTACATATGCTGAAATTAAAATTAAGAGACTAGACCAATGTCACTCCGATCAGTTAAATGAGTCAAAGTAATTGACATTGGAATCTCCACCTCTGGAGTCTTTTCTGTAAAATGACCAGTCCCTACAGGTTTTGTTTATGCTTTTGAGATAACAACTGTTTAACTGTAAACCCTTGCAAGGCAGCAGCCATAGCAAGGCCTTGCTTACAAGCAGTTTTAATGTCAGTGGTACCAGGGATTGAACTCACAGCCTTTTATTTGTGGGACAGGCAACTGTGCCACTGAGTTAAATCTCCAGCCCTGGGGACTGAACTCACAACGTTGTGCTTTGCTTATGTCACTGAGCTAAATCTCCAGCCCCTGCTTAATGCTCCTAAGGAACTCATATTGCCCTTAAATTGCTTTTGGGCCTCTCTTTTGGCACAGGCATCCTCCACTATTAACATATTAAGGTCCCACCCATTGCTGGCTTGTATATTGCGCCTGGCGGTCTCTTTGCAATTTTTTGTATATTCTGATTTTTACAAAAGATTATCCCCACCTGATAAAGTCACTCAGGCCAATCTTTGCCAATCTGTAGGTGTGAGCCAGCCGTCAGCCAGAGAATTTAAAACAGCAAGAGTGAAAGCAGCTGTAGGGAAATATTGGACAATCGCTGTCTTTAATTCTTTTAAAGCTGCCACTGTGAATGGCGTATGAGTCCTAATGACTTGTGGAGTTAGCGGCGCAGCGCCCACGCCCGTCTTGCGGCTGTGCGGCACCATCTTGGGGAGGTACGCTTGTTTCCCTCACTGGAAATGCCATTTCAGGGAGGGACCCATGCTGATGTGGCGGAAGTGAGGCAAGCGCCATTTTAAGAGTGCTACGAGGCCTGCCGGAGGCAGGCACCATCTTAGGGGCACTATAAGGCTGTGTAGCTCGGAGGGCCTTGTGCGACCATCTCCTCAATCTGAGGATCTGCATGCCGTTGGGCAAGCAGCTCAGAGATTAAATTCTAATATGCAAAAGTGGTCACTGGAACCTTTTCCGGACTGAAAACCCTATAATAATCTTTTAGAGCATCTCTTACTCTTTTCCACCTCTTGGTATCTATAGAACCCTCTAGGGGGAACCAAGGGCAAACCTTAGGAATAAATTGAAAATACTGCAACAATTCTTTTGTTCTAACCCTTAGCCCTCTTGTCTTTAATGCCTTGCTGAGGCCTCCCACGAACAATTCATATTAGCTCAATGCTTGACCCATGTCCGAGAAAGGGAATGGGGTTGCTGTTCACTCACCGTGACTCAGGCAGCACACTGGGTGGTCGTCCGCGCAGGCCTCGGTCCTTGATTCAATGTGCTTTCACTCTTAGCTTTGACTCTTGATTCAATTTGTTTTTACTTCTCTCTGGCGTTCTCGAACGGTTCCCTCGTTAACTCCCCCGTGCCAGGAGCCCCCACGCTGGGCGCCACTTGATCGGCCCAACTATCCAACAAAAACTTAGAAATATGGTTATCAATCCTATACACTTAAACATACATGCTTTATCCATATCTTCAATTATGTTGAGATTGAACAAACCCAAGCAGGCTAATATCACTCTGAACAAAGAATAATACTATTGCTGGGTGTCACATTATGACACTCCAGGATCAGCACTGGGTACTTTAGTGTCTCTTTTTCTTCAAAGTATCGGTTCATTTCATCATGTGTCATAGGATCAGTTCTCATAAACTGTTTATAGATTCTACACATGCCTGAATCTTAACATGCATTTCTATCCTTTCTATATTAGAGGGAGAAAAAAAACAAAGCAAGACAAAACAAAACATATTACTATAAACACATGAAACAAAAAAGACATAAGACCATTGTACAAGGAGTTATACCATAGTTCCTGTGTTGTCTCTTGTTATCTTCAATAGAATTGGCTATATCATCAGACATAGTGTAATTGAATATATCAGTACATAACAGTATAGTTCTGTTTCTTAACATAGATTTGCAGTCTACCTATTTGTACCCTTTGCCTGTTTATCTGGCTTAGTAGAAAAATTCCACAGTTTTTTCCTGAAAAGTACTTACTGTGTAACTTCTAAGAACCCCATTCTCCTGAGGAGCTTGGGATCTTGTTGGCATGGTGAAAAGGGGTTTGGATTTTTGTCTTACTTACAGACTAGGGAAACAATCATTCAGAAAATATACTACTTACTTATTTTGCTCCTTTTCTTCCTGAACTTCCTGACAGGAGAAGATGTCATTGCTTCAGAAAGGGCTGCAGCTTTATGCACCGCATGTGAACTCTCGGGGAAGTCATTATTTGTGCTGCCGCACACTGACCACCTTGTGGGTTATATTATAAGGTAAGAAAAGGCCTTTTAAAGGTTTTTTTCTTTTTTTTGTGGATTGTTTTTAGGAATTAAGCAATTGGTAGCTGAGACCCATTTCTTTTTTAAGGAACCAAAACATGTTCAATAGGAAAAAAGTTAAGGGTTCAGAGGCTATGCAGTAAATCCCTTATGAACTCCTTAACTCTCCAGCGTGTTGCCTTCCAAAGTGTCTTTTGGATAGGAGCAAATATATGTGTATTTTTATAATACATGTATGTATGCACAAATACACACAAATAAATTAATATAATACACACTGATCTTCCACTTAACGTTATCTCACTGACACCTTCCCATATGTACATCTGTGTCAACCTCATTTGTAAATAAGTGTTTAGCTGAAAACAACTGGGAGTGAATAGTCCTAGGGTACTCGGGGCTAAGGCAAGAGACTGGTGTGAGCTCATGAATTTTGGACTGGTCTGGGCAGCATATGGAGACCCTTGTCTCCAAAAAAAAAGTTAATGTTTTTCTTTGTGCTTTTTAGTAATTCCTGTGTGTCCTTTTGTTATGTATGCTCTTTATATGACAGTGTCTCCATTTTTGGTCTCTTTATTTCTTCACTCTTGGTATATTGATGTACTTGTGATGTGTAAATAATTTTCAAAGCCTCTTAAGCTTACCATATGTTAAATATATTTATAAAAGTTTTGGGGCTGGGGATTTAGCTCAGCAGCATAAGCACCTGCCTTGCAAGCAGGTGGTCGTGAATTTGATCCCCGGTACCGATAAAAAAAAAGAAAAAGACCAAAAAAAAAAAGTTTTATAAAGAGTAAATCACCTGGGCACACAACATTATCTCAAAAATATGTGATCATTCTCCTTTGCTTTTCAAGTATTTAGTGGTGCAGAGTTTTGCAGTAATAATATATATATATATTTTTTGTCTTTTTCTTTTTTATTGGTACTGGGGATTGAACTCACAACCACCTGCTTGCAAGGCAGGTGCTTATGCCCCTGAGCTAAATCCCCAGCCCCCAGTAATAATATTTTTATTATTACTATTACTTGTAATGTCCTAAGAGGTTTTGGAAACTTTTATTATTACTATTATTTATTTTATTATTATCAGATATATAAAAAATATATATTTAGATATATTTTAATTGATTTTTGACTATAAAATGATTTCATTTTGCAAAAGTGCTGTTAAACTTATGAACAACTTAGTTTATATTTGATTATTATTTTTTTATTTTTTATGTATTTGATTACTACACAATCTTGCATAGTTTCTTGTTCTCAGAAACAAACTGAAAATTATCTGATATTTTCATTGGTATATAAATGCCTGGTCTCTAAAAAACTAAAGCATAAATTTAGAAGAGAGGTGATGCGACAGCAGCAGAATCAAATAAATAATGCATTGCAAGAAAGTTTAAATGCAGTGAATAGCATATCAACACGGAAGCGTAAGATTCCACACCACAGAAAGTGAGGTCAGTAGTGTGCAATTGAGTATAACCTTGAGGTAACTGCTTGGAGTGCATAGGAAAAGCATGGTTCATTGTTGTTTTGGGCTACTGGGGTCTGAACTCAGGGCCTTGACACTGAGCTAGGTCCCCAGCCCTTTTTTATTTTGTTGTGTTGCATTTTGTTTTGTCTTGTGACAGAGTTTCAGTAGGTCTTTAAATTGCCCTGACTGAGCCTAAACTTGCCATTCTCCTGCCTCAGGCTCGCAGAGTCCTAGGATTGCCTGCTTGCAAAGAGTTTTGTTTTTACCACTTATGCGGAGACGCGGAAACTTGGGGAATACAGGGGGTGTCCAAGTGACTGACACAAGAAGTCAAGGTTCTAAGTCTGAGTCTGACTTCCCACATGGGGATCTGAGCATAGGTCCTAGTTCCTAGGACAGTCCTTTAGAGGTGAAGGAGAACCTCAGGCCCTGCCTTCATTTGTATGAAGGAATGAAATAAAAGAGTAAAGCTCAGTATCAGGAAACCTTCGTGTTCCCTGATCTGGGAGGGACGTAGCAGTTATGGTGGCGACCTCACTCAGTCTTGTGCTTTCAGGACCCACGTCCTGTGCACGTGGGTGCATATGTGGTTCAGGAAGCCAGGGATTGGATTAACTCTTCAAAAGCAAGTCAAGGTGTTAGAATGTTTATAAAACTTTTGCACTGCATTAAAGAATGATTGTGAAAATCTTTTGTATTACAGAACTTTGATGATCATTTCAAGATACAGTTCTTAAAAGACTATCAAATTTAAGCATTTTACTTTTATGAAAAGATAAATGTTCCAGATTTTCTGACTTCCTTTTAGGATACTAGGCTGTCTGTATCATGCTAACTAGAAAATGTTCAGTACAAAACAAAACAACCACATACATCTATTTTGCCTTTCAAAACAAAGGTAACGTTTTAATAACAAGTAAAAGCACATGCTTTTCCGAGGAAAGTTGTGTTATAGAGAAAACATATTGAAAATGCCACAGATGGATATTCTTAATAAAGCACTCCTTTTCATAAAAGAAGGTTTGAGTTGTTTCTTGATCTCTGGTCAAATTTTTGTTACTGTTCTCTTATAATCTCAAAGTTATAGACTGAAGCAAAATGTAAATTATGCAGTGTTATTTTCACTTCATTTGCTATTGTTAGTTTGCTTATTTTTTAAACCCAAGATGCTAAAATCACATAAATTAATAAAGTCTAATCTGTAGAAACCTTTTCTCAGACATTACATGACATTACCAGATAGTATGGATGAAAGTAATCTTAAATATTACTTGATTTTTATAAATTATGAGGTTATTTTTATTAGCCATATTTTATATTGCAAGAAATTTTAAATACTTTGAGGGAGATCTTAATTTTAGAAATTTTGTCTAGAGATTCAGTTTATATTCTGTTCACTTTTTGTCTTAATCATGGAGCAAAGTAGATGTTATCTCTGTCAGGAGTTTATTTTTGGACTTCATAATTAGAATTCTTGGTAAGAATTTGGTTAAAATAACTTTAATTTTTGACTGTTGGGTTTTTTTTTAACAGACTAGAAAATGCTTTTTATGAACATGCACAGACTTATTATTACACTGAAATCAGAAGAGTGAAATCTCATAAAGAGTTTTTGAATAAAACAACACACCAGGTACATATTTTAAGTAACAAAACTTAAGCACTCGTGAGCGCTCTTGAGCAAATTACTCATTATTGATTATTTTTGAGGTAATTATTATATGTCTTTAATATGTCTTTTAATATTTTAAATGACTTCAGTACTTCTGGGTTTTTCTAAAGATTTAAAAAACTAATATTTTTTAGATTATGCTTTTTGCCCTTTTAATATGTTTTTTTAACTTTTTGACCTTAGAAGTTCTTAAAATTTTACAGCCGCTTAAATTATACATTTGTTGAAGTAGTTGTCAAATTTTAATTTTGGGTATTTTCTTTTATATATTAATGTCTTCTTGTATGAACATTATAATTTTCCACATTTAAAATAGGTATTTAATAGTGCTTTTTAAATCCTTTTTTTTCCCAGCTTTTATTTGTTAGGCATCAGTTCAAAATAGCATTCTTCAGTGAATTGAAACAAGATACACAAAATGCTCTGAAGTAAGTTTCTAACACCTTTCAAACTAAATTTTTCTTATCTTTATGTTACCAGTAACATGTTAATGGCAATTTCTGAATTCAGCCAAACTAAATTTGAAATGTTTATGTTGGTTAGAATCAGGTATTTAATATTTAGTTTGTCTAGAAATGAATGGAATATAACATGTTGAAATTTTAAATAAAATTTCCATTTTATTGAAATTAAATTTTAAGAGTATCATAAAGTTTTCTGATAGGGCTAAAATTCTTTAAAGAAATAAACACTAGATTTTCCCTCTTCCTAGTTCTAAATTTGTGTGTTCAGTAAGGTTCTGGTAAGAGATGGATTTCTAAAATATAATAAATATTAAGTGTTATCTAAGGGTATGGATTTGTTAAAGTTTACAGTTTTAGTTAAAGTTTTTGTTAAAGTTTACATTTACTTAATTGAACTTTAAGCTTATAATACTACCAGTAATACTATTTTTCTCCTTAAAGGCTCTACTTAGAGGCTTAAAGATTAGTTGTAGATGTGTTGTTAAACATTTTCTTTCTTTTACCAACCACAACCTAGTAAGACACTATCTTTTTGTAGCTTTAACTTAGTTTTTAGATTGATAGGGTAGTATGAAAAAGAACTTTAAAAAGCTATTTATTCTTTAATTGAGGAGATGGAGAAAAACACAAGTATGTGAAAGTAATTCTGTGACAGGAATATCATAGGAATGTCTTATCTTTTGTTATTGAGGTGCCAAGCACCGGACTGTATGTTGTGAATCACAATGACTGTATAATTATAACTGCTTTTAATGTAGTTCATTATTGTGGGTGGCATTAGTTAAAAGTCTCCAATTTCAGGTTTGCTGAAAAATAATTCTGGAGAGAAAAACAGCGTATCTAAAAAGTGCAGAGTACACCTTTTCCTTTTCTCTGTGGCAGTGCTGGGATTGAACCCAGGGCCTCACATGCTAGGCAGCAGGCAAGCGCGCCACCACTGAGCCCCAGTCAAAGCCCAAGAGTGCACTTTTTCCTGTGGAGAAGACTGTTCTGAGATTTTTCTCATTACCTTTTCTATCTTAGAGTAGGCCCTCTTATAAGGCTGTTTCCACTTCCACAATGATACAGTTTTTGTTTGAGACATTCATAATAGAAATTGAACGAAACTTGTTTTTCTACCAGAATGCTAATTTTTCAATGTAATTCTAAATAACTGTCCAATGTGCTTTCATTTTTCAACTTATGTTCTGTTGGTTATTGACTGATATTAATGACAGAAGGAATAATGAACATGGGATGGTTTTGTTCTTTGAAAAATTATAGGTTTCTCCTACATACATTATAAATCAATAGATCATTTTTTAGGACATTGAAGATTGGGATAAATATACTATTACCAAGGTGTGACATGTTAAGAAATGTTAAATAAATAATTTCTGTTATTTGTGGTAATTTGGTTGTTGGGAATTGTCATAAAATTAATTTATATTACAGTTAACCACTTTTCTCATGTTTATTTTAGGAATTATAGGACTGCCTATAATCTTGTACATGAATTGAGAGCCCATGAAACTAACATTCTGGAAATTAAGACTATGGCAGGATTTATAAACTACAAGGTAACAGTTCAACTTGGAAATAAAGTTTTTCTTTAAATATTATCTTTTTTTAAAATTTGAAAATCAAACTTGATTTCTAGCTCTGAAAAGTTGGTGTGCAATTACATTCCTTTTTTTTAAATATGGTTTTACTCAAGTACTCAAGGAAGACTTGGATTTTTTTTTTTTTTTTTTTTAAACCGGTACCAGGGATCGAACTCACGACCGCTTGCTTGCAAGGCAGGTGCTTATGCCGCTGAGCTAAATCCCCAGCCCCAAGACTTGGATTCTTAACTGCCTAAGAGTGATGTATGATTTTTGGGTTTATAGATCCTAGTTATTAGAGTTGGCATGGTTTTTGGTGTTTATTTTTTAATGGAAGCAGGAATAGTAAGAAGAAAGTTGCCCGTAATACTGAACTCTTTTAGCAGTACAGAGTAGTAGAACTCTCCTTGGTTTAATAGCACAGCTATAGAAAATGTAGATTATTTGTTCACCTTAGAGAAAACTTTTGTTAACTGTTGTTTGAGCATTTTAAGATTGTTGTAGAAATAGACCTCTTTGTTCCCTAATCAGACAGATGATATCTGTTTGCTTTTAATTTTCCCACACTAATGTTTTAAGGTGTTTGGCCCTGAGTTGGTGATATGTGGACAAATACTTTGAGTAATTGTGTGGTGTAAATTGGCACAGTTCCTGGATAGCATATTGTAACTGTACAGACTTAAAATGCAATTAACCTAGCAATTCTATTTCAGGAAGTCTATTTGGACATATATGCTAATACTTGCAAATCACATCTATGGTTGCTTATATCTTCTATAGGAAAAGACTGGAAATAAATCAGCAATAAATTATAACTAAATAAATAGAACATTATATAGCTATGAAGGCTGAAACAACTGGGGCTGGAGGTTTAGCTCAGCGGCATAAGCGCCTGCCTTGCAAGCAGGCAGTCCTAAGTTCGATCCCCGGTACCGATAAAAAGGAAAAAGACCAAGAAAAAAAAAAAAAAAGACTGAAACAACTTTATCTATTGATGTGTAATGATAGTAGCAAGACAGATGAAAAAAGGAAGACACAACTCTGCAGAATATTTAGTGCAATGCTTCATGCATACTTCTATAAATACATAAATAGGCATATGGTTGTCTGTGTGTAGAAAATGACGAAGCTGACTGGATGCTAGAAGGAGAGGGAAGAGTAAGAAACTACTTTTCCTGTATTCGGTTGTACTTAAAAAATAAAATTGAAAATTATAATTAGCATTTGGAAATCAATTTAGGCTTTATTCCTTCTGTTTTTCTTTTTTCCTTTAGTATATACAGATTACACTGTTTTGAAATAGCATGTTAAGCACAAAGGACTTGGAAGTTTGACATGGAGGTGACTGGGTTTTGGGCTATAGAAAACAAGTTTCTGACAACTCTAAAACTGAAAATCAGCCTATGCTTTTTCAGTTATCTGTTGGAAGTATTTTAGTCACAGTCTTCTGGTGTAATTTTCAAAATTCTGTATTTTTGAAAAGATTTCCTAAGTTATAGAGAATTAGCAAAGTGACAAAGACTGGTTTTATTGTGATTATGAAGAGAATCAATTCTATTGTGGAGAACTTAAAAGAAGGAAATTCGATAGTCTTCTGTAAAAATTATTCTAAAACTTTACCTGTTTTTGAATCATTATGCTTTTTAACTTTTTCCCTCTATTTTGGAATTGATTTTATATTGTACAGATCTGTCGGCTGTGTTTTCAACACAACACCCCACTGGACGCAATTGCTCAGTTCAGAAAACATATCGACTTGTGTAAGAAAAAAATTGGAAGTGCAGAGTTGTCTTTTGAGCATGCTGCATGGATGTCTAAACAGTATGTTTTAAATTGTACTTTTAGAATATTTTTTAAAATGCATGGGTTTTGAATAAATGAAAATAGCATGGAGTTTGACTCCACTGAACTAAGTTTTCTTCAGTAAATAGATTTTTGATAATAAAGCCTATGTATGTTTCTGGTAATAGTGTTTATTGATTGGGACACTTTCTTAATGGAAGCCAGTTAACTCAGGATACTGTCTTATTCATTCAGTATATACTTACTGGGTTTCCAGTGTGTGTCAGCATCCTAAGAATGTAGCAGTGAACAAAAGAAAAGTCCTACTGTCATGGGGGTTACTGTTTAAAACTGATGCTTAATCATAGGTAAAATGAAACTGTTCCCGGACACTTGAATGTATTTGAGTGATGACAACTATGTTAAGATTTAGCTTGATAGTTTATTTATAAACCTGTTAGCTCAGAAGAGATGACATAAATACAGAATTTATCTTTAACCTTGTCATTCATATTAGTATTTACAAAGAGATTATGACAAATATTGTTAATCATTAGTATTATTTTGATAAATATGCTGAAGTTATGGTTCTTGAGATGAATAATTACTAAAAGTAAGTTGCTTTTTCTTTTTTATTTCTTTCTTCTTCTTTTTTTTTTTCCTCTAAGATTCCAGGCCTTTGGAGATTTATTTGATGAAGCTATTAAGTTAGGGTTAACAGCTATTCAAACTCAGAATCCTGGTTTCTATTATCAGCAGGCAGCATATTACGCTCAGGAGCGGAAACAGCATTCAAAAACCCTTTGTAACCATGATGTAAGTTATCAACTCGTGTATTAACTAGCATTTAGAAAGCTTACTAATCATTTTTTGAAAGAAGCTAGAACTAATTAGTATAGATAATTGTTTTTCAAGTCTTTGAAGGTAGTGCTTTTATCTTATATAGTTTCAGGAATTGTTATCACTTGAACAGAAGTACTCCATTTTTAATTGTGAATTTAGCAGAAAAGTGTTTTTATTTATATATGATCTTTGGTTTTGGAGACAGGATCTTGCTGTGTAGTTCAAGCTGGCCTTGAATTTAATGTGTAACCCAGGTTGAATTGATCTCTTGGCAATCCTCCTGCCTCAGTTTCCTGGTATTGTGATTACAGACTTGGTTTTGTTAAAGATACAAGTCATTGACATTAACAAATATTCATTGGAGTGTAAAATAATATTTCTTTCAAAAATTTGAACTTTAATACTATACATCTTTTGACCGAAAATTTTATTTTTAGAAATACCAAGGTAGGTAATAGATCCTAAGATATTTAGGATCTATTATCCTAAGATATTTAGATCTATTAGTAAATATCTATACAGATATTTATTAATTACAGCACAAAACAGAATAAATGAATAACTATAGGGAATTTGTTAAAGTGTATAACAGCAGGCAGTCATGAAAATAATGTTTAAGAAAAATATTTAACAATATGGTGAAATGGATAGAATTATTTATTTATGCAGTACTGGGGAGGAACTCAGGGCTTTCATGACAAGCTACATTCCCAGCTCAGTTTTGTGTTTTTAAAATTTTGAGACAGGGCATAGCTGAGTCACTGATTTGCCCAGAGTGCACTTGAACTTGGAATCCTTTCCTCAGTTTCCCACAGTGCTGAAACTGCAGACTGGTTTGGACTAGTACTATAAACTGGCTTAGAATATTTAAATTTTTTTAAAAGATTGAAAATTATTTTAACTGGCTACAAATAAGCTTTACCCAACAATCTATAGGGATAGTGTATACCTCTTAACAAGTAGTCGTAGTTTATATGTAACTTAAATTTGTAACTTTTCCTGTTAAGTATTTCATACATTTTTCATCAAGATACTTGTATTACATTTTGGTTTTAGAAGGAAAAAGAAGAAAAAGCAGTTTAAATCTCTTGATTCTATTGCCAAATACTTCCTCCCCCCAATACCAGGAATAATATATAACTGATAAATAAGAAGTGTTTTCTCTTTAAAACTTTATAACATTTTTAGTTACAGAGAATATTTAAATTATACATAGAAAATAACTTTCAAATGTAATTTGTAATATAGTTTCACTGGCTTTTTATAGCAAAAAAAGAAAATTCAAAGAAGTTACTGTGAAGTCATTGGTCAAAAACACTGATTTTATTCAGTTTTTATAAGGTCTTCTAAATATTAAATGAATCATTTCGAGTTTAATTTTTGTTAAAATTTAATTCATTTTAAAATATTCACAACTGATATTTGAATGTGTGCTTGGTGAAAACTTATTCACTTAGAGACTGGGCAAGAGTTGATTTGTGATGTGTTGCATAAACCCTTATTTATGTTTCTGTTTTAATTTACAGGCTTCTGTAATGTATCCCAATCCTGACCCCTTAGAAACACAAACAGGTGTTCTTGACTTTTATGGACAAAGGCCCTGGCGACAAGGAATATTAAGTAAATGATTTTCCTTTTCTCCTGTTCACTCAGCTTCAGAAGACAAAGATAGCTATCATAATTTCTTATTCTTGAAGCAGCCAGTGTTGAAGTAAAAATAAATGCTTTTCAATGATTTTTTTAAATGTACAGTTTTTTAGTTTTAGGATGATTTATATCACATCTTAAATTTTTATAATTACATATACTGATATGATTAAAACATTGAGATATCTCTTAAATGGCATAATAAGCCATTGTCAACTAAACATTTTAATTCCAATTAATTTTAATGATTTATGTGACATCTTAAAACATTAACTTACATCACCTTAAAATTTATCTGCATCTTTTATCTGTTTTATACATAATTTAATTCAAGCAGCATCTGTGGCTGCTGAACATTAAGTATTAATTATGTATTTAATCTGCAGAGACTGTTTTCTGAAGAGAATGATATGTATAGTACCTTCAAATGGCTGATGCCACTACATAAAAGAACCCTGAGCTCAGTAATGTTCTCTTCAGAACTGAGGTCACAGAAAAGTTCCCATGTTAATATGATGGTCCCTTAGAATCTTTAATATTCTAGAATACTTTAAGAACCGTAAACACATTATCAGGATTCAAGGAGTGTACACATACAATGTTCATGTGAAGGTTTGTGTTAAATGAACTATCTAAAATGGCTTGGGTCGTGTCTTACACAGGTTTTGATCTTTCTGATCCTGAAAAAGAGAAAGTAGGAATTCTTGCCATTCAGCTGAAGGAGAGAAATGTTGTTGACTCAGTAAGTTGCTTTTTTTTGCCTCCCAATATAAGCTATTTTTTTTACTATATTCAGGGAAAATATGAAATTATTTAAACTATTTTATTCTTTATCTTTTCTAACAGGAAATAATAATAACTCTTCTGAGCAATGCTGTTGCACAATTCAAGAAGTATAAGTGTCCAAGAATGAAAAGCCATCTAAGTATGTATTTATAACCTTCCACAATTTCATGCGATTTTAATAATTTAAATTATATACATATATCTTTGTGTTTTTTTATAGTGGTTCAAATGGGAGAAGAATATTATTATGCAAAGGATTATACCAAAGCTTTGAAGTGAGTCCTATTTACTACCTAATTTTCATAAGTACTCTGATTATAGTGAAATTGGAATAGAAATTTATATAAAAATGTTTATCATTTCCAGAATTACTTCTAGTAAATTCCATTTCTGTGATGTTTATCAAGTGTCTTCTGCTGGCATAAACGTTGAAGATTTAGGTTAGCTCAGGTTTAGCTAAAAGTGAAAAATACCTGTTAAAGTGTCAGCAAGATTTTCCTTTATTTACCTAAAAAGAGGAAAACACTCTCCAAGAACTCTTGAAACCTTCCTGTGACGCTGATCCAGTGTGTCCTGCTCCTGTCACCCCTTAGGTTACTGGATTACGTGATGTGTGATTACCGGAGTGAAGGATGGTGGACTCTGCTCACGTCTATACTCACTACTGCTCTAAAGTGTTCCTACCTCATGGCCCAGTTGAAAGACTACATCACTTATTCCCTAGAACTCCTTGGAAGAGGTAATTTGATGTTGTTTCAATAAAAGCCCAAGCCATAAAAGATTCAGTATCTTTTTTAAAATAGGAAGAGTAATTCAGTGTCAGATACTTAGTAGTACTTCTATTATGTGTAAGTCATTGAGCTTAGTCATCATAGAAGAGACATTCACTCTGAAATATTTAAGAAAATGAGGCTAGTGGACTTACTTGCCTTTTTTTAGTTCTATTTTTATTTCTTCTTCATTTTAGCTTCAACTCTGAAAGATGACCAGAAATCTCGTATAGAAAAGAACCTCATAAATGTTTTAATGGTAGGTTGGAATTCTTTATATAAAATCTGTTCTAGGAGCATGTATATCTAGATCTGTGTATTCTGGATGTGCATGCATTTAACTGTGTGTTCTTGCAGAATGAAAGTCCCAATCCTGAACCCGACTGTGATGCATTAGCTGTGAAGACTGCTCAGAAGCTGTGGGCGGACCGAGTTTCTCTGGCTGGCAGCAACATTTTCACTGTAGCAGTCCAGGACTATGTACCATTTGGTGAGGAGCCAGCCTCTACAAGATTATTTCAGAGAAACCATTCTGCTTTAGAAAACAAATAGATGTGGACTTTTTCAAAGTATAATCATTTAATGGATAAATTATAATTTTTTCTCCAAAATAAGGTGTGAAATATTTGGTTTATGTCTTAAAACATACTGTGTTCATTTCTAGTTCACATGTTAGAAATACACAGAAAAACAGTTATTTTCAAGGTTTCTACTTTAATGTCTAAGCAAGTATTTTTTTAAAAAGTCACAGAATGATTTATTGTTCTTTAAAATCCTATCACCTACATTTCAGGGACAATCTTTTTTAATTAAAGATGGTTTTGAAGTTAAGTTTAACTTTTGTAAGTCTATAAAATTACCTTAAGGAAAACGAATGTGTATGTTTTTTCTGAAGGGTAAATGTGATTCAAAAAATAATGTGGGTGGGTCAGGTCTTGTACTGGATAGTGTACAACTAACTCAGCTCTTTTTGTTTGATTTCTAGTCCAATGCAAAGCCAAGTTTCATGCCCCAAGTTTTCACGTTGATGTTCCTGTTCAGTTTGATATTTATCTGAAGGCCGATTGTCCACACCCCATTAGGTTTTCCAAGCTTTGTGTCAACTTTAATAATCAGGTAATGGTACACTTTCATGTTATTACTAGAAATATTATTGTAGCTTGCTTTGAACAATGTAAAATGAGCTTAGTGCATTTGAAGTACTTAACAGTTTATCTGAGCAGTATTTACACTCTATCCCGAGCGTCAGGCAGGCAGGTGTCATTTCCATCAGTCAGTGCTTGTACTGAAAAAATTCGATAAAATTGTTGTTTTTCAATTTCCTATTCTATTATCTTATACAAATTAATGAAAAACATGCAGTTTTGGTCACCCTGTATTTAAATAATCGGATTGGGAAGTGGTTAAGTTTTTGTGTTTTCTTTTTGCCCATGAAGTGAACATAAAAGGAAAACAATAAAAAACAAAATGAAGGACTGAAACTTTTGGCACCTTCGAATTAAAGGGATTGAGATGAAGAAAAGAAGCCTTTGGTTACCAGAAAGTAACCAAGGAGACAAGAATTAAGAGATAGTGTTATAGAAACCATGTTTAAAAAACAAACACAAACTCTTCGAGAAAAGGAGATAAGCTGCGTACGATGGCACATGCCTTGTAATCCTTGCACTTGGGAGGCTGAGGCAGGAGGATTGCTGAGAGTTCTAGGCCAGCCTGAGTTCAAGGCCTGCAAGAGTTACAAAGTAAGACTTTTTTTCAAACAAAACAAGCAAAAACAGCAACAACAAAAAACAGATAGGCACATCCTGTGCAACAAAGAAGGAAATTGTTTCTTCAACAAAAGAAATGTCTAAATGCTTTCAGAAATCAGATTGTGGTTAGTGAACTGCAGTGTTTTCCATGTTGGCAACAGGGAGCAGTGTCTGAATTTGACATCTAACCCTTTCTTTTATTAATAAACTTTATAGTCAGTAATCAGCTCCAAATTACTTGGCATTAATGTTGGCAAAAACAAACTGAAATTTGATGTTAGCAACCTGATCACACTGTTTCTTTCTTTTTCAGGAATACAACCAGTTCTGTACAATAGAAGAAGCATCCAAAGCAAGTGAAGTTTTAGAAAATTTGACTCAAGGAAAGATGTGCTTAGTTCCTGGCAAAACAAGAAAATTGTTATTTAAATTTGTTGCAAAAACTGAAGATGTGGGAAAGAAAATAGAGGTTAGTAGTGGAATTTGTTTAAAAATATTTTTAATCATAAAAATGTCATGTTTACATAAAAAGTTAAAATAATACAGAAGTTAAGTAAAAAATGGAAGTCTTCCATCTGGAAGAAAACATTTCTAGAAACCATTCTTAGTAGCTTGGTAGATTCCAGACATTTTTCTATGAATGTGAATGTATTTTTAGTTTAAAATTTTGTTTTCAATTGAAAAATGTGGAATCTGTTATACATAATACTCTATAACTAGTTTTTTCCACTTAATAGTTAAAATTAAACGTAAACATCATTTTTTTTCTTTTTTTCTTTTTTCTTTCTTTCTTTCTTTCTTTTTTTTTTTTTTTCTTTGTCTCTTTGAGATAGGATCTCTCTATGCAGTTCAGGCTGGCCTTGAGCTAACTTTGTAGCCCAAGCTGGTCTCAAACTTGCAACAATCTTTCTGCCTCAGCCTCACAAGGGCTGGGATTATAAACATGAGCCACCACACCCAGCTAAACATCATTTCTTATTAGTACATAATAAGTCCAAACTCATTTTTAATTAGATAATCAGTTAAGATTTTTTATTTTTATTAGTGCATGTTTGTTACATGTAATGATAACATCCATTGTGGGGAATTGCACACACAACTGGTACATGTTTTTAATGTAATGTAATATAGCAAATCTATTTTGTATAATTAATTCAGACTGAATGTCTTTTCAGTGTTTAAACATTGCTGATTGCATATATTTAAAGAAAAGAAGATAAATATTTTTAAAGATTAACTTGATACAGATACAAAAAGCCTTTGAGAGGTATATGATAAAAGTAGTGTTTTATTTGAGTATAAACTCTGGAGCCAAGCTATTTGAGCTTAAATTCTAACTCTCTAGCATACAGTAGCTTATGACCTTGAGCAGTTACCATTTTATGTCTCAGTGTATTCATCTGTAAAATGGGATAGTAATAGTACTGGCATCATAGTGTTTGATCAGGATTAAATCAGTTATTGTAAATTGCTTATAGCATTATTCAGTATTTGTTTTGCTTATAGCATTATTCAGTATTTGTTTTCCACGACTTGAATGGAAATGATTAGGTATTTTAAATGTGGGTCTATTACTAAGATAGATGGCACATAAAGTTATATTATTAGTAGTTTCATAGTAATTTCTGTGATATGCTTAATTTTTTTATTAACCTATAAGTAAGTTTTATTTTGTTTTGTTTGTGATACTGAGGATTGAACTCAGAGCAATGAGCTGCATCACTCCTTTTAAGAATTTCTGAGACTGGTTCTTAGTAAGTCACCAGGTTGCTGAGGCTGGGGCAGATAGATGAACTAAAAAGCCTTTTGTGTTTTGAACAAATCCTTAATAATTTATTTTACTATATGGTACCTGAGGAAGCCTGCCGGACATGAATCATATTTAGCAATCACATTCTGAGTCCATTTATTTACATGGAATGCAAGATTAATTCAGTTAGTAGAGTATTTAATTGCTAGTAATATGTTTTCAGAAAAAAATTCTAGAATTAGAAATTAGGTTGTAAATATATCAGTGGTCATCAAAATCTGTATTTCCTTCAGTATCCACTGATTGAACATCTGTTATTTAACTACTGTGTCAGATGATAACATCATCACTGTACTGGACAGTCTCGTAGGTAGAAAGTTCAGGTATGACCTGTCTTTTAAAGCTGAAGAAGTTTAAACTGAGAGGCCAGGAATTAGTATCCCAACCAGAAGACTCTTAACTTATACCATGGGCTTCTACATGAGCTTGAAATGCTAGCGGTCCTTGGGGTAGTTTTGCTGCGAGGGGATGGTGACAAGGATGTGGTGTGAGTGTTTCTGACAGCCTTTCCTCTTTCAGATTACTTCTGTGGATCTGGTTCTGGGCAGCGAGACAGGCCGGTGTGTGGTTTTGAGCTGGCAGGGAGGAGGAGGAGATGCCGCATCCTCCCAGGAAGCCCTGCAGGCTTCCAGGTCTTTCAAAAGACGACCTAAACTCCCTGACAATGAAGTTCACTGGGACAGCATCGTAATTCAGGCGAGCACAATGTAAGTACACCAAGACTGTAAAAGATCATATTCTTTATTTTTTGTAAAATGCCTGATGTAAATACTTACTTTTTAATTAGTTACTTAGCCAAGTGCAGTGGTATATGCTGCTAGTGCCAGCTACTTGGGAGACTAAAGCAGGAGGGTTGCGAGTTCAAGGCCAGCCTGAGCAATTTAGCAAAGCTCTGTCTCAGAATAACAAGGGCTGGTGGTGTTGGTGGTGGGAAATCAGTTATGTAACTATAGAGTTCCTTTCCATAGGATCATTTCCAGAGTTCCACATATTTCTGTGCATCTTCACCATGAGCCACCTGCCCTAACAAATGAAATGTATTGTTTGGTTGTGACTGTTCAGTCTCACGAGAAGACCCAAATCAAAGATGTGAAGCTCACTGCTGGTTTAAAACCAGGTATGCATTTGTTTTTAAAGTTCAATCAGTATTATTAAGTGCCATGGTGTTGACAGTATGGCATTTCTTTAAAAGGTGATATGACATAATGCTCTTCTTATAGTATTGATTGTTACAGTGTTTTAATTCTGTTAATTTTGACACTCTCAGGGCAGGATGCCAACCTAACTCAGAAAACTCATGTGACACTTCATGGGACAGAACTGTGTGATGAATCCTACCCAGCCTTACTCACTGATATTCCTGTTGGAGACCTACGTCCAGGGGAACAGGTGAACTTGGGTAACCTAGATTTGAGAGGAAATCAGTTGGTTTGGAGTTTTAAATAGGCAATGATTTTTCGTTTCAAAATATTTTATCAGGATATCAAAGGACTAAAAAAGTGATTTAACTTTGTTTGTATTTTGGGTTTCTCATACAAGAAACCATGCAATATTTAAGCTTGGGTTCTTGATTTATTTCACTTAATATTATAGTCTCAAGGTGCATCCATACATAAAGAGCAAAATAAAACATAATAGGAAAAGGGGAGGTACATCTTTTATAAAAGGGAAGGGGAATAAGAGATGGGGAAGAATAAGAGAAGAGGATGAAGAATTAAGAAACTATTCATTATGTACTGTAGACATATGCTAATAAAAAAAGAAACCTGAAAAAATGATTTAACTAATGAACATTTTATGTCTAGTTTTTAAGTGTTTTGTTTTCTCCCCAGTGTTGGGGATTAATGGAGAGCCTCATACATGCCAGGCAAGCGCTCTACTACTGAAAATATTGCCAGTCCTCTTAGGCAGTTTTTGTGGAAGGATTTTTAGAACAAGTAAATCCAATATGGAGAATTGCTGGATAAAATAACTATTTTCTGTAACTTAGTGCAGTAATCTCCCAATTTCTGTTTCCAAACTGAATATAAAAATTCTTGGAAAGTTGAAGGTTAAAAAAAGATAGATCAAGGCTAGGGATACATAGTCAGTAGAGCTTTTGCCTAACATGCACAAGAGCCTGGGTTCACTCCCCAGAGCGCACTCATGCAGTAGCAGGGTGTTCAGGTTCTCCATGGCGGGAGCTTCCATTAGTTAGATTAGTTAGGCTGGCCCAGCCTCTGGAATATTGCAGCAGTTGGTGCAGAAAGCTCTAAGGATAGAAGTCTTATCTTAGAACACCTGTTAGGAGGAAGTAATACTAAATTATAATGCTTCACTTTGTTACAGCTGGAAAAAAAGATCTATGTTCGCTGTGGGACTGTGGGCTCAAGAATGTTTCTTGTGTATGTTTCTTATCTGATCAATACAACCGTTGAAGAAAAGGAAATTATTTGCAGATGTCACAAGGTAATTTTTTTGTAACTACTTCATGAAGCATCATGTCCGGCACTTTCCTCCATTTTGTGTTATTTTAGTTAATAGTGTCACGGCAGTGTCATCTCAGATTTTTCTTTGGAATTGTCCAAAGCCCAAGTAGTAGAAAAAAGGCCAGTTAGCAACTTGGGGATTTATAGAGAGTGGTTTCCATATAGATTCTGGGCCATAGGCTGTTCATAAGTAATTGGTATAGAAAAAAAAAAAAACTAAAGCGATGTAGTGTTTTCCCACTGGGAGAGAGAAAGATGTATTTTTATATTATCAAAGGTTTTACATAGCCTGGCGTAATACAGAACCAAGATAATGACTTAGGAGGTGAGGCTGCTATCTTAGCAAATTTACGTATCATTTCATTTAATGCTCTTAACAACCCTGTGAGGATCTTGAAATGGGATTTGAAAGGACTGTGTGACTCCCTCAAGTCACGGGCTATTGCAGGGCTGGAGGTCATGCTGCTAGTAAGCAAGTCCCAGCTAGGTCAGAGTCTGGCTGTCTGAAACAGAGCCTGAGCTTTTCACCACTGTGGTCTTCTTCAGGGTTTCTCATCAGTAGTGCGTGTTTGTGTTTTGAAAGCTGTAATACCTTGTTGTTTTTCAAATAGACTCTTTCAGAGAGAGAGAGAGGAGATCTAGTGTGTTGGTTAAGCTCCAGGATCAGATTCAGTAAAGGTTTGCTTGTTTCATTACCTTTAGCTATATGACCTCCTCACCGAAGTGACAATCATAGTAACACCTGTTTCCTTGAGTGATTGTGACCATTAATAATACATGTATAGTGATTATCTTAGTGCCTTCCTGTCACTGTTCACCTTGTCATTGTTATTTTTGCAATTATTTTAGTCATTCTGAGTCAAGGTGAGGTAAGGAACTTGTACAAGCAGAGAGTGCAAGGCTTGGTACCCTTGGCCTGGTGGCCTTAGGCAAGTCACCCTGTTTTCTTAACACTAGGTAGTTCATTTGTAAAGTGGTGACGCTGCTGCTCTGCTCTCTTCATAGGCTCCTGGATAATGAAGGTGGAACAAAGCACTTACATGTGAATTGTTACAAAGCATACATAATTCATTAGAAATAATAGGTCTTGCTACATTGAGTATTATAAATACCATCGAGGAGAAACCCTTGTTCTTAATAGAGAACTTATTGGGCATTTACAGATTGTGTTTTATAAGCCTTCTTTTTTTTAAACTATATAAAAAAAGATTTAGAAAATCCATTGAATGTGCCCTTTGTTTTTCTCGCAGGATGAAACCGTGACAATAGAAACTGTCTTTCCGTTTGATGTTGCAGTTAAATTTGTTTCTACAAAGGTATGTTCTTGTGATGCATGCTGACAGCCACTTGTATGTTATAGAAAATAACAGAAAACATGAAATGGATTGGCACGGGTGCTGACAGGCCTTTTGTCTCCCGTGGTGACAGTTTGAGCACCTGGACAGGGTCTATGCCGACATCCCCTTCCTGCTGATGACCGACCTGCTAAGCGCCTCTCCGTGGGCACTCACCATCGTGTCCAGTGAGCTACAGCTTGCTCCAAGCATGACGGCAGTGGATCAGCTGGAGTCCCAAGTGGACAAAGGTGACCTGGATCATTCCCGCTGACATGGGGGAAGAGTGTGTGTGTGTGTGTGTGTGTGTGTGTGTGTGTGGAAAAATGTGAGAGTTAGCTTTTTACTAAAAGAAGCAACTTGGGAGTTATATTCATAACAGCAAATACATTCAAAACTAAGGTTGAGTAACTGTCATTTACCATTTTTTTCTTCAGTATGCCTTATTTTACTTATTAATGTTTAAAATTTTAATGCATTCACATTTACTTTCCTCTTACTACATGTTTGTAGTACATAATGATTACATTCCCGTGGGGAATTAGTACCTGTACACACCATAGTTCTTTTTCACCCTCCATCCTCCACTCCATCTCTTGATCCCCTTCGCCTTTGAGAAAATCTTCCTACTTTCTATTATCTTTTATGCTGATCGTTATTTATAATTTGGGGTTTCTCATTTAAGAGGAACCATGCCGTATTTACGCTCATGTATCTGACTTACTTCACTTAACATCAGGGTTGCAAGATGACTGAAGGTTATCTTTCTTTATGACAGAGTAGTACTCCATTGTGTGTAAATACATTTCCCTTATCCATTTATCTATTAATGAATGTAAGGGCTGCTTCCAAAATTTAGCTACTATGAAATGTGCTGCTATAAACATAGATGTGCATGTATCACTGTACTATGATGTCTTCACACAATTCAGGAAGTTACCTGGAAGGAGTTGAATGGAACTTTTAGGTTTAATTTTGCAAGGAATCTTCCATACTGGTTTGCATAGTGGTTCGACTAGTTTATATTTCCATCAACAAAGTAGAAAGGTAGTTTTTCCCCCCATAGCCTCTCCAGCATTTAGTATTATTTGATTTCTTGATGATAGTCATTCTTTGTGAGTTAAGTTGGAATCTCAGTGTTGTTTTTAATTTGCATTTCTCTGATGCCAGAGATGTTGAACATTTCTTCCTGCGCTTATTGACTGCACATCTTCTGAGAAGGATCTGTCCCGTCTGTTGCCCAGTTTTGATTGAGCCATGGAGTTTTAGATGTACTTGTGGTGCAACACTTGCTACATTATATTACATGTATTTACTTATAAGTGTGACTCCCTTAATACACTTGGCGCTTTTACAGCCAGAGCTGTGTGTTGAATTATCCTGGTGGTATCAGTATCTTTTAACAAGTGCTTATTACATTGGGAAATAAGCTCTGATTGGAACCTTTACTGTGTTAGTGTCCTGGTGCTGCTATAATAAATGACCACAAAATTAGTGACCTGAAACAACGTAAATCTATTGTCCCAAAGTTCTCAAAACAAGGTATTGGTATAGCTGAGTTTTTTCTTAAGGCTCTAAGGCAGTCTGTTTCTTCCTAAGGGAACCACTTGGATTCTGTGGTGCATGGCTGTGCACTTTCAAAACCAACAGCAGTACCTCTGTGTTTCAAATTGACGCTAATATTAATTGTTGATAAACATTGTGATCATTTTGGGTAACTTAGAATTTAAAGAGGACCGTGGTAGAGTTTAATATGGATGTCTAGGTTTTTTAAAAATTTATTTCCAGGGGTTTGAATTGATGCATTGTTTATTTACCAGGCTACAGTACCATTTTTAATTATTAAAATTACTGAAAAGAGTTGGTCATAGTGACACATGCCTCTTATCCCATCATTAGGAGGCTGAGGCAGGAGAAACACCTTGAGTTTGAGGCCAACCTGAGCTATATAGTAAGTTTAAGGCTAGCCTGAATTAGAGAGTGAGATCCTGTCTCAAAAGAACAAACAAACAAAAATACTGTAAAACTCAAAAATTGTTTTTTTTCCTTTTCACTGTGGATTGTTATCTATCCACATTTAGACCTGCAGTGATCTTTTTCATTGCAAAGCCTCTCAAATAGCAGCCAAATGTAAGAGATACTGTTGTTTCAGTTTCACTCCCACTTGCTAAGATTGTCGTTAGATAGGCGCCATTGCCCACTCGCATTTGAAGGAGTGACAGTGGGCTGTGAGGAGTTGAAAGGCAGAGAAGACTTGGGTGAGAGGAGCACTTACCTTGTCCTTGAGGAGTTTACTGTGAACTTGGTAGAAGGAAAGCGTCTGTGCCAAGCAGTGAGTGGCCACGTTATGTAGTACATGGTGGTGGTGTTTCCATTTGTGTATCGATGAGTATTTACCGAGAGAAAGCCAGAACATGGGATCACATTTGAGTTCTCAAAGAGGAACTGAAGAGCGGCTGAGGCAGGAGGATTGTAAGTTCCAACCCAGCTTGTGCAACCTAGCAAGACCCTTTCTCAAAATAAGAAGGGCTGGGAGGTGGCTCATTGTGAAGGCTCTGGGTTCAATCTCCTGTACCACAAAACAAAGCACATCAAACAAAACACAGCAACTAAAAAACAGTAAAATTTTCTTTCCTTTGCCCCAAAATGTTTTCCTTGGAATAATTATCATAAAGTATTATTCTGTATCCAAGCTCTCATTATTTGTCAGTTTTAGTAGGACTTTGTCACAGACATCCAAATGCCTTCCTGGTTTTACTATACCGGAATGTTGAGACTGGCATAATACTGGACTTTCTGACCTTGAGAAAGTCATGTGACTTCTCTGAGCCTTACTTTCCAGTCTCTATAAATATTATTTAATTGGTAGGTATTCCTTCTTTGTTATACTCCAGTAGAAACACTGACGAAATGGTTACATAGGCTGTAAAGATCGTTTCTTACAGTTGTCTTACAGACTGGAGAGAGTGCTAGTGAATGCTTTTGTCTTCAGTGCCCATCTGTCGGAAATGTTGAAGGTGGTGTAGCAACTGGACATTACATTATCTCTTGGAAGAGGTAACAGTCACATCAACCCTGTTTCTCAGTGTCTTTGTTAGTCTAACGTGTCTCTCATTTTTCACTGTCATTTGTTTCCAAAGAGCAGAAGTCGCATGAATATGACTGATGATGTGTTAGAACACAAAGGTTAAAAGGGAAAATGAGGCTTGTGTTTGTCACACCTGGTGACTTACATTCTAATGAAATTTAGCTGAACTCAGCCTGAAGCGAGACTTGTTGACGTATTTGCAAATTGCCTTTGTAAGAGGCCGAAGGAGATCAAGAGTTTTGGCAGACTTTCTGCATATCAGAAATAAGCCCCTAGGAAGTGTATTTTGAAAATAGATATTATTTACACACCAACTATGGTTTCGAGATATTAAGGAATGTATATACCTAATAGATTAAAATTTATGGAGAAAACTTTAATAAAACATTAAAGAAAGACCTAAATGAGTAGGAAAAATACTCAGTAGTCTTGTTTGTATAAGAAATTTTAAAATTATAAATTTAATGCAATTCCTTTAATATGTTAATAGTTTTTTTTTCATTTTTATGTAACTGGAGACTCAGTTCTAAAGTTTACATGGAAAGGCACAAAATCAGAAATGTGACATTCCAGAAAAAAAAAAAAAATCCATGGTACTTGCTCTTTTAGAGACAAAGACTTATTGTAAAACTGTAGTAGTCAACCCTACAGTACTGGCTCAGTAACAGGTAAACAAGAACAAAAGAGTCTAGAAATAGATTTGTAGATCCACACATACCTTGAAGTGATATTTTACAGAAGTAGCACTGTTGATTGGTAGAAAAAGAGTAAACTGTTTTGCCACTTGTGAACAATTAGTTACCCATTTGAGAAAAAATTGTATCTAAATTCTTGGTATTTTTAAAGATTAATTATAAAAAGCAAAACCATATTATTTTTAGTATAAAATATAAGATAGTTGCTTTATAACTTTGGGATAGGGAAGAATTTCTAAATAAGACACAAAAAATGCAAGTCTCTAAAATTAATTGGATTTAGTAAAATTAAGATTTTTTTAGTTTACTAAAAAATATCATAAAGGCAAAATGGAAAAAAATATTGGCTGCATGTTTAAATGAAAAGGATTAATCTTTGTATCAAGTACTATAAATCATAAACAAAGACAAGTCATTTAACAGAAAGTTGAGCAAAATATGTAAGTAGACAGCTTAAATAGAGGTTAGCAGTAAGTATATAAAGACTCCTTATTTGTAACCAGAGAATGACAGAATCACACTGGAAAGTCACATCGTGCTAGTGTGGAAAAAGGAAAAGGTTTAACCATAATGTTAAATGTAAATTAGAACAATCGATTTGGAAATACATTAGGCAGCGCTGGGTAAAGTGAAGGATGCTCACCTAGAAGAGGGTTCAGACATGAACACAGACGGTATGTGTATTTACAGTAGCACTGATTACAGTGGCAACGAAAGAAAAAATACATGCCTGCTCATGGGCAAGCAGACAAATTGTGGCACATTCATGCATTCTAATACTGTTCACCAGTGAGAATGAGTGAACTGTGGGTATACCCGCCTCCATCTTAATGTAAGATAACAAAGCAAGCTACAGATGAAAATAGAAGCAAATTGCATTTATGAAACATTGAAGAACATGTGATACACTGTATATTTCTTTAGACTGCATACATAATTTAGAAGAATATGAAGGGATGAGAGGGAATGATAGATTCCAAATTCAGGATGGTGGTTATCTCTGGTGGGAAGAGGGCAAGCATGCCAGCAGGAAGAGCCATCATAATATTTGCTTTTTTAAACAGAGAGAGAAATATGTCATGTGTTACTCTTCTGGTATGATTCAATTGTTTTCGAAAGTTTTAAAATGGGATAAAATATATTATTCGGTGGAAAAGGAATCGGGATAGAGGAATCATAAGAAAGTATTAGTTCATACAATTTACAGTAATGCAAGGAAGAGCTGAATGTAATGACTCTCACTGAAAGGTTAGGAATTGCCGCAAAAAATCTGAAACTTTGTAGGAAGTTCAGAAACTTCCCTTTCAAGCCCTCAAAAAATGTTTAGTGATGTAATTCCATTACATTGTCCCTTTTTATTCTCATGTTATAAATTGTATCTAAAACATGGAGCAAGAAGCCTAGTTCTCTGGTGACTTTTTTAATAAAGAACTCTGCTGCTAAGGCCTGACAAACATCAGAGATAAAAAGAAAACTTAAATTAGCAGCTGTCAAACCTGTGGCATCCAGACTCTTGTGCATTTTGAAAAATCATTGAGAACTCTGAGGAGCTTTTATTCATGTGAGCTGTACATATTAACCATGTTAGAATGTAAAACAATTTTTAAAAAGTGAGAATGGAGAAATATGTAAACTTACTAAGAAATTTTAAAAAATAAACTAATCCAATTTTTCTTTCCCCTACTGCTTCTTTCTTTTTTTTTTTTTTTTTCCTGGAACCAGAGATCGAACTCATGACCTCAGGCTTGCCAGGCAGGCGCTTATGCCACTTACCTAAATTCCTCCCCCTCCTACTTGTGAATTTATTATACTGATGTTTAGTTTATTATACTAATGTTACTGATGTTTAGTTTATTTATGAATTAAAGTAACATTTCAAAAAAACCGCTTAATTATTCCTTCATGCCACCAGAATACTATGAAGATACATTTATTTATTATTGATGAGGGCTTAGATGCTTTGTCTAGAGGTGCTTCTGCTCTGTAGTGGTTTGCACATGTCGGTTCTTCCCCACTTTAGATGACTTCTCATAAAGAATTAGATAGTTGGCAGTTTCACCCTAAATATAAATATTGAATAGTTTCATAGTGTTACTTTGTTTCAGCAAATTTGAGAGTATTGTGTAGTGAAATCCTTTTTAGCACCTCAGTTTCCGCTGTGTACTTACAGATGGAGTCCTTTGAAGGGGTCTGAGGCCCGTTTATGAAGCCTCTTCAGGGAGATAAAGAGTTTGTGCAGTAAACATAGTCAGGCTCTTTTCTTCTCAGAGCAAGTCCTTCCACCAACAGACTGAGTTAAATGGTGTGCTTTGTGACTGACAGTCTGATGCAACTCCTGGCTTCCCGTGCTGGCAGTGACTTAAATTGTAACATTTATTCATAGGAAATATTGAAAACAAAAGTGGAATTCTAAAAGCTCTTGCTTTATAAAACTACTTTCATTAATGAAGTTTTGAAGATGAGTAGTATGTATTTCCTTTGAAACTAGATGGTGAACACTGTATTTCATGTATTTGATCTATTAACTTTGTATATAAAATGTAAATTTACAAGGTGACCTTTTCTGCCATAGGACTTCAGCCATGGAAAACATCCCTGTCATCAGCACAGTCATCACGCTGCCACATGTGATTGTAGAAAATATTCCTCTTCACGTGAATGCAGGTAGCAGGAATTCCAGTTTTACCTGATAAAAACGATTCAGGAATAATGTGTATTATAGCTTCCAAGAGTTCAGTTAACATTTCTACTATGAAAAATATCTAACATTTATAAGTAGATTCTGGCCAGTGAGGTAAGCCTCTATCTCTGCATGTTTCTCTCAGCCCTATAATTTTGAAACAAATAACAGATGTCATTTTATCCATACATATTTGTTTTCCTCTTTAAGAGTAATGGCTCTTTGTCAGTATAATTATAAAACCGTTATTATCAGATTTCATTGTTGAAGTTTTTCTAGTTGACTGACAGTTCTCAGCGTAAGGGCTACACGTTGTGTCGTATGACCAGTTCTCCTGCTGTCCGTCTAAATCCATGGTGATTCCCTCTCCTCTGCATTCTTCACTTCCTTCCATTGTTTACTCCTCCTCTTCCTTTTTCTGTGTTACTTTCTTTGCCACTTCAATGTTTTCCTCCTCCTTCCCTTTCTTTCCCTCTTCCTTGTTGTCCACCTGTTGAAGAAGCCAAGTTGTGTGTCCAGTACCTTTCCACAGCCTAGTTTTTGCATGACATATTTTTAAATGTTTCTGTGGCAAAGTTTTTGCAATAATACACTGTAGTTAATGGTGTGTGTGCCAAACAGAAAGCATGTTTTTAAAACCTGTGTGTCAGGCTTTCTTTCTTTACTGGAAACTTCCCTTTATCATCTGCTTGGTTATCCTGATGCCTAGAACTTTTAAAAACAGTACGCAGTATTTGCTTCCATAGTAAATACACTGAAATTGGAAGGACATGGAGACGATCGCCAGGCTCTTGTGTAAGGATAACACACATATCTATGATGCATTTCATGTTTTAGTATCGCAGGAAAAGTAGAACAGCAGAACTGCAAAACACAAACAACATGTGTGTATAAATGGATAGATAAATGAAAGTTTATAGTTTGACTAAAATAAGATCTTTGCTTATTCCAGTGTAGGAAACAAGACTGGTATTTTGAGAAATTGTAAATTTTTAAAAAATTCCTTGTAAGCCCTTTCTAAGTGAATCATTTTTAGAAGACTTACTTTCTTAGTCTTTTCATCATTGTCCTGTAGCTGGAACCCAGTCAAAAGTTTTTCTTACCTGGCAAGGAAACAGTGATATCATTCATCCAAAAAACCATAAACAATCTTTTATTTTTCAATGAAGAGAAATGTGCGATCTTCCTGTTACAGATCTGCCATCTTTTGGACGTGTCAGAGAATCATTACCTGTCAGATATCACCTGCAGAATAAGACTAACCTCGTGCAGGATGTGGAAATTTCTGTGGAGCCCAGTGATGCCTTTATGTTCTCAGGCCTCAAACAGGTACAGGTCATCTTTCATGGTGCTGCTCATGTAGACACAGATGTGTGCTTAGAAAATGAAGAGCTGGACACTTCATTTTTATAAATGAATTGATGAAGGCCAGCTACAGTCCTACTGTTTGATAATGGTGATTTATATCTGTTAATAGTGAATTTTTAAGCACTTTGATAGGTTAAAGTTCATCTTCTTATAGAGATGTGGGTTCCTATTTACACATCAGAATCAGACAAGTTCTTTCTCCATATAAGGCAAAAAGTTCACAGATCCTTGAACTATATTATTAGAATTCTTGCAAAACTTAAGTTTTCTCTTTATGTACTTGTGTGTGAGTGTGCGTGTGTGTGTTGATTTAAGGCTTGAAGGCTTGAATATACCAACATTAAAAATCTGTTTCTCTTTCTGAACTGTCCATGAAGTCACATGGAAAATTTGATCTTACCTGGAATTTACTTGTTTGGTATGTTTAGATACAATTTGGAAATTTTGGTTGTAGAATTTACTTGTTTGGTACATTTAGATACAATTTTTTTACATATAAATAGAAATTATCCAATTTTCCTTTTTTATATGTTCAAATTAAATGGAAAAGGTTATCGAGGTTTGAGATGGCACAAAGGTAACACGTAAGCGAAACCCTACTTCAGTGAGTCCTCCTCAGCCACAGTGAAAACACGTATCCCTCAGTTGGCAGTTAATGCTTTTGTTAATAAGGGGATACTTATAATTATAGGAACAACATCTAGAATTAACTGCCCTGCCTAATCGGCTTTTCTCTGCTTCTATTGACTGCTGCTTATTATAGAATTATTATGAATTACGTTGTGTATCCACATACTATTTTAAATTCACTACATATGTTAAATCTTACCAGCTATAGAATATTGCTAGATTTATATTATTCCTGATACATTGTGTACATATCGGTCCTCATTTCTCATTTACAGAAGCATAAGCTTTTCTTGAATACTGTGGTCTTTCTAGGTATTTACATAAAAATAGGAAATGTAAAGATAACAAAATCTTGAAAGTTTGTATCCTTTCCTAAAGTATTATTAAAGATTTTTCAAACATGCTTTTCCTCCTGAAGTTATTTACTTTAGCAAAATAGTAAAATTCTGAAAAGAAAGTACTAGAAACAACTAGTTTGTATTATGTTGACATAATATCTACAAATAGACACTTTTAAACAGATTGTTTGCTGACATATTTCGAGCATAAAATCTACCTGATCTAAGACTCAGAAAATAGTAACCTGACTGATATTCTTAAGGTAGGATAAGTTGCTTTTTAGATCATGGTAGAAATTGAGAGATCCTACATGTATCGTTTTAGCCACTTCCTATCTGCCTGGCCCTAGTCTTATACTACGTCAGCCCTATTCTTTCTGCAGGGTGGAAGAGACGGATTTGAGGGTCTGTCTTTTGTAAGTGGTTGAGGGGTAGCAAATTATATGTATTGCAAGTATTTGATTCTCTGTCTCTCTGACTTTTATGAATAGATTCGACTGCGTATTCTACCTGGCACTGAACAGGAAATGTTATATAACTTCTACCCTCTAATGGCCGGATACCAGCCACTGCCATCGCTCAACATCAACTTGCTTAGGTTTCCTAACTTCACCAATCAGCTGCTTAGGCGTTTTATACCCACCAGTATTTTTGTAAAGGTAAGGTTTAGAAATTTTCTGCTTTTCAAATTCAATGTCTTAAAAGCATACAAAAGGACTTTTTTTGAAATGTAAAGTTTATTGAACAGTATTTTGAGATTAGCAATAATAGTTTGTTATTATATATTAATATTACTATTCATTCCTATAAAGTTAGTGTTACTTTATAGTATTATTTGATAGTATTTATAGCCTACAATTTCTATTTTATTTCCTTAGATAATTAATGGTTCATCCTTAGGGTATCCTTGAACATGTTTTCACTGTAGTAGTATACATTTTAAATTTGTAGATTATTGAGCTGGGTGTGTTGGGAATAATCCCTATAGTCTGTGAGGTTGAGGCAGGAAGATTGCAAGTTCAAGTCCAGCTTGAGCTACTTATTGAAAGACCCTGTCTCAAAATAAAAAATGAAGGGCTGAAGCTACAGCTCAGTGCAAACAAAGGCCCTGGGCTCAATCCCCAGTATCACCAAAAAAGAAAGAACTGTAGAATGTAACTAGCTTTTAATCAATACTAGATTTGGGTTTCTTCTGAAGATGACAGAAACTATATTGTAGCGTAATGTTTTGATTTCTAAATAACTCTACAGATTCTTGGGTTCTGCAATAAAAGAATATGTAGGATGGACCCACCCAGGTACAGAACAAGTGTTAACTGGGCTTCTCACACATACATCCCTTCCAGATGCCTAAAATGAGGGCCCACCCCTCCAGGGGCTCCCTTATTCCTAACCCTGTTTACATGACTGCCTGAATCCTGTGTGCCTTTTTTTTCTTTTTTTTTTTTTAATACTCCCTTTAAGACTGATGAAATTACTTGGTGCTTCCTTTTCTGTGTCTTGAGTTTTAGAGAATTTTTCTTACTTTTACAGTCCAGGAATTAGTAAATTAAAAATTACTCTGTGTTGATGTATTCACCACCCTCTTCCTTTTTTTTGTCTTTCCAGACTTACACAGTATTTTTTCATCTTCCATTTGATTTAGTTGATTCAAAGTTTCTATAATTAGAATTTTCAGTAATTGTGCTCTTTATGGTTGGTTTTAAACATAAAGTTTCTCTATTTTTCTTTTCTTTTTGGGGGGGCGTCCTTTTGAGATAGGACCTTGCTCTGTAATTCAGGCTGGCTTGAACTTGTGGCAGGCCTCCTGCCTCAGCCTCCCAAGTGCTGGGATTACAGGATACACTATTGCACCTGGCCATTTCCTCTTATGAAAACAATCCTGGCTGGGGATACAGCTCAGTGGCAGTGCCTTCCTGGTAAACACAAGGTCCTAAGTTCAACTCCCAGTACCAAAAAAAAAAGCATTCCAGGGAAATAGAAAAAAAAAATTCAATTTGAAAATACAGAGATGGCCGGGCGTGGTGGTGCATGCCTGTAATCCCAGCACTTGGGAGGCTGACGCAGGAGGATCATTTTGAGTTTGAGACTAGCCTGGGCTACAAAGTGAGCTCAAGGCCAGCCTGAACTGCATAGTGAGACTGCCTCAGAATGACACACAACAAAACAAAACAAGAGATGTTAATCTTTCCAAGCTCCTGTCACATGCAGTTTTAAATTGTGAAAGAAAGATCGGTTTTGGATGTCCTTAAATTTATCAGTAGCGTTTAAACACACCAACCTGATCGTGTTATAAAAACATGTCCTTTTGCTTCCTCCCTCTCATGGAGATGCCCCATGCGAGAGCATGGTGCTGTGGCGGGGTCGGGGAGAGGCAGAGAAAGGGTGGTCTCTCATTCCTTTTAGCTGCTTGACTTGAAGATTTCTGTTCTGCAGTTCAGCAGTACTAATTTAATCATTGTGGAACTAGTCATCACTGCATAGACTTGATTATATTCTAACTGCACAGAGATAACATGAGACAAAAGAGTTAATCATACCGAGAATTAGAGACTTTGGTTCCATCATTTGATCTCTTTCATTCTTTAAAATACCCAGTCCTCACAAATCAAATCCCAATTAAGACTTGCCATCAGTTTTTTGATTTTCTTGTGAGGTAAGCCTCTGTTGAGTAATGTTTAAATTCATAAGGAAAGGTACCAGAAAATAAGCACTCATAAGTTTTAGCACAGGTAACATATTTATGTGATTCTACATACTCATTTTTTTCATATTTACATGAACTCTAAATACAGCTCCACCTTCTGGTAACTTTACTGCTGCCCGAAGTATGGACTGGAATCCTCAGAGCCAGCTCTTTTTTATAGCTTGGAAAAACTAAAAGAAAAAAATAAAATACCTTTGTCATTTCACAGTGTATACATATTTCAAAACAGGTTGTATAAAATAAATAAATGTTTTGTCAATTTAAAAAGTATGAACCTGTCATACTACAGTGCCTGAAGGTTACCTTCTTATTAAATAATCTCAACTAAAATTTTACATCCTAAAACACTTTTGTGTAACTTTAAAATTGTTCTATCCAGTATAGCAGCCTCTAGCCACTTTGAGATTGAAATTAAAATTAGTTGAAATTGAATCAAATTTAAAAATTACTTGGTTGCATTAGCCACAGTTCAAGTGGTCCGTGCCTAAACATGGTCACTGGCTGCCACATTAGAGGGTGTTATCCTGGAGCAGTGGTGTGAATGTAGGCCACGCGTGCCACAGCTGGCCGTTTATACCATCGAGAGCCCTAAAAGGTCTGCCATCACTGTGTTAGAGCAAGTTTAGAGCATTTGTTTTTTTCCTTTGAATAATTCAGTTCTCTAGTTTGGGGAGGTACTTGTCTTCTGCCTCTATTTGTAAATCTAGATTTGGCAAAGCTTTAATCAGGGAGAGCCATTATTTTGTTTGAAACTGAGTAACTTCCATTATTAATAAAAGATTAAGTGAAGAATAAAACCTAAGGACCAAGAACCTGATCTGCTCATTCGTTTTCCACCTTGAATGTTAAGAGACCTATGTGTACATGTGAGCATGTCATCTCTCCATATACACATGCATGCATGTGTACATGTATTGGGAATCATTTTGTCTCAAGCATAGTAAATGGCTTTGTCTCCTCCTCCTCCCCTTCCTTCTCCATCCTCCTCTGCTCCACACCTTTTCTTTCTCCTCTCCCCTGCTTTGAGACAGGGTCCTGCTATATAATTCAGGGTGGCTTTGAATTCACTATGGCACCCAGGCTGGGCTTGAACCCATGACAATCCCCCTACCTCAGTCAGCCAAGTGTTGGGATTACTGGCATGTGCCACCGCACTGACTGGCTTTTGATTATGAAGTGATGGTGTTGTGTTACATTTCCTGGTCACTGACTCACATTCTTTTTTTTTTTTTTAAGAGAAAAGCAGCAAAACAGAAAAGGATAGAAATAGTACAGAGTTTTTAAAAAAACAAATCACTAGTTGATAAATTACATATTAGAAGTAGTTGCTCAAGTCACAGAATCAAAGCATAAAAAGTGGACAATCGAACAATGACAGTACAAACCATTCTGTTTGATGAACTAAGATAGTATGGTTATCTATCTTGCACACTTAAACACACATACAGTTATATGCTTTAGAGCACTTTCTTTCCCTTTCATTATCACAATATCTTGTATACATTTTGGATTGTACTACTCTTTTGGTTTTTTATTATTATTATTTATACTAGAGAGACAATACGATATTTACAAATGTGAGTCTGATTTATTTTACTTATGAAGATAGTCTCAGTTTGTCTCCATTTACCTATAAAAGCCTCAAGATCATCCTTTTTATTAGCTCTCATTCTTTGCTATACAAGTCTGCTGTTGTATACCTGTATAATACAGTTACGTACAAGTATTCTCTTGGCTCTCTGGAATGTGGCTAACATGAGGAATATTATAGCCAAAAACAATTCCATCAGTGTTCCTTGCTTGAAAATGTCCCTCTACTTAGCACTGACTTTTCTGATGTGAAGGTCTAAATTTTGTGTAGGCTAAAGCCACAAAAAAAGGAGGGTTCTCTTTTTCTCTGCTGCTTCTGTCCTTGCAGTATACACTGTTAGATATTCTAGAGGTCATTGCCAATCATATTTTTCCCAAACAGGATATGGGAAGATCTAGAATCCCCAAAAGAACATGTCTGTCAGCTTAGGTTTTTGCCTTGCCCAAAGCTTGAGACATAGAAGAGCCCCGAGCAAGAGAGGATAAAAATTTCTCAGGCAGGAATGGTAAGCAGGTTCCCTTTGGATGTCATCAGAGGTGATTGGCAGGAGCAGCTGGAACACAGGCAAGGACAGAAGACTCGACTGCAGTGAACCTAGGGAGGAAACACATGGTCAGCTGGTGATGTCCGCCACCAGGGCAGGGCCAGCCTGTGCAGTTACCATTCTAGGTTCAAATGAAGAAGATAGGATAAAAGAGAGAGTATCAGTTTCTCCTTGGATGCTTATACACATTTATTCTGTTTTTGTTAAACGGTTTTAGAAATTTCAGGATCTTTTTAATTAATGGAGTTTTTCTTGTCATTATTTACTTTGTAATCCTGTTTTGCTTTTCCCCTTTAAAGCCACAGGGTCGACTGGCAGATGACACTTCCATTGCTGCTGCATGATGTTCAAGGCCGGCCCTTGGCTGTTGTTACAGAGGAGCAGGGTAGAGCTGTATGTGTGTGTCATTGTGTCCTGTAGCTTTGATCGTGGTAAACAGTTAATCTTTTCTATTTTTGAACGGATACCAACTATTCAGAGGAACTTATGCTTAACATATTATGAAAATCATCCTCTCATGTAATTTCACTAATAAATATTTGAAACCTATTGGTGCAGTATAAAAGTATGTCAAATCATTGTTACTGTTAAAAGTCATTTTATGAATAGTGAACAATTTCATAGTTGATTTGTGTGTACAGTAGGAGAGGGAAATTAAGCATCCCAAATATAACTGGACAAAGAAAGGAGAACGGACCAGTGAAGTTCTGAAGCCCTGCTGAGTCTCCTGCAGAGTTGGCCTAACCGGAGTTAATCCATCCTTACAAATTCAGAGCGTGTTCAGAATGCACAGCTCCAGCATACCCAGCTGTGTGCCTGATGTTGAAAAACCTCCAGAAACTTGTAATCAAAGTGCTTTAATTAGAAGGTGTCAGAATTTCTATTTTTGCTTACCATCAGAAAGTGTCAGATAGATTCTGCCTACAGTCAGAATATGGATCATTTGTGAAGCAGGGTTGTATTTTTGAAAGGGTAGAAATGTAAGGATCTTATAAGCATAATTTTTTAAATAAAAGTTCTGAAGAATGATCCATTGAAGAAGAGCTCTTAGTTATGTCATGCAGTTCCAAAACAATTACTTAAAACTCTTGAAAATTACTGTAAATAAAAATCATAGGGTGAATTTTTTTCTTTGTTAAAATATCCTAATAATTTAAAACTACCTGATTTATTATTTTTCTACTGAAAAAGTATAATTGTAAAAAGGAAAAAGTGATGTAAAAAGGAAAAAGAGAACTATGTTCTCTTTCAAATATACTTGTATGTATCTTTTAATTATTTTGAGCATGTTTCATTAAAGCTTCACAGGGCAGCTCTCACGAAGAGCACAGTTACATGAGGTGTAGTAGAGAGGATTGGATTGAAAAGCCGGATATAGTAGTACGTATCTGTAATCCCAGCACATGGGAGACTGAGGCAGAAGGATCAAAAGCAGAGGCTTACGTTGGACAGCTTGGTGATTTAGCAGGATCCTGCCTCAGAGGAAACAGTGAGATCTGAGAATATCGCTCAGTATGTTCAATCCCATACCACACACCATCCGTACGCACATTAAAAGGAATAGGATTGAGGTACGGTATTTGCGTTCTACAACTGGTGCAGCTAACCGTGGTGGAAGAGGCTCTTGGGAGGACGTGAGTTTCTATTATATAGCAACTTTTCAGGTATGGGCTTTGGGAGAGTGACTTTGAGGAATCAGATCCCACCTTTATGCCTAGGGCTTTGAGTTACTCTCTTTTGTCTCAGTTTTCTCACATATAAGAATAAATGATAGACCTGTTTCACAGCTTGTTATGAAAATGATATAGATTAATACAGAAGAAGAGCTTGCAGCATTGCCTGCCCAAAGTTCATGCTTAACTAGGGTTGTCTGTGTTACTGCTTTGTGTGTGTGTGTGTGTGTGTGTGTTTGTGTACGTGTGTGCATGTGCGTGTTCGTGCATATGCATGTGAGTGTTATTTTTAGAGGAAGGCCGAAGGAGATAATTCATGCATGTGCTGGAGAAGTCTGTGTTATCAGAATTTACTAATACAATTTCCATTATGCAGTATGTATGTGTATATATATATATGTACATATATATGTTTGTGTATATATATGTATACATAAAACTGTGCTGTATGTGTAAATATATAAAATTTTATGAAATAATTCTGTATACTCACGTGTATCCTCTTGTGCTTTGTTAAAAAGATATCCCTCATTGTAACTTGCTAAATTGATTTTGTGACCTACTAATAGGATGTAAACTGCAATTTGAAAACTGGACAGAAATCTTTAAGGTCCGTTTGAAGTCTAAGAAGGTTTGATACAGTGCAAAAGTAATAAAGGCCTCAAATGTTAGCACTGCCCTTGTCAAGCACAAAGTGTGTGTACTAATTAGTCACTGATATACGCTTTAAAATTAACATCAACATCAGTGTGATTTGTTCAACTATGTCCTCTACTGTAAATACACCAAATAAATTTGTGCTTTCTTCTTGATCTCTCAAGAGTTTGTGATAAGTAATCTTTCCCAACCCAGAATTCTCCCATATTGTACATTCTACCATGAAAAGATTCTGTTCATGTTTTGAAACTGAAAATTTTAATTCAGAAATACTTAATATTATGCTCTGTCTTGGGTCCATAAGTCAGAACCGCCATTGTGGTGCTGTGGGGGCTTTGGCTCACTAAGGTGTTGTGTCTGGAGAACCTCGGTCCTTTTCCACTGCCTCTGGACAGTCAGCCCTGACGCTGTGTCCTCTGTGAAAATGTCTACCGGCTGTCTTTGTATTCTGTTACCATTCGGTTCTCAGAATTGCTCTCCACCAGTACACACACTGTTCAGCATTAAAATTGTTTAAATAAGGTACTATAAATTAGGAGGGTAGTATTAAAGTTTGACTCCTATACGTAAGGTAAGTACTTGTGAATAGTCCAAGTGCTAGTTAGCCAGAGGAGGATAAGAATAATATCTTTTAGAGGGGTAAAATATTTGCTTAATTTTATAGTTTTTTTTTACTTAAAAAAATAATTTGCAAACATGATCCCCTCAACTCAGTTTTCCTAGTAAAGACTTAGGTTTGTTATCTTTGAAGTCTTCAAAAATTAAGTGGTTTTCATTATCTGAAAGAAAGATTACTTTTGCTTTATTCATTTATTTCCTGGCCTGTATTATTTCCACTCAGAATATAAAGTCTTCAGTTGATAGTTTTCTGACAAATAGCTGTTAAGAATCTGAATTCTAATTTCCATATGGGCATTGCAGTGAGAGAGCTTTTAAGACAAAAACTGAGCAAGTTATAAACTCACCCTTTTAAAGGTGGTCTGGTTGTCTCCAGGTATACCTTTCTGATTTTTTTTTTCTTTTTTTATCGGTACCAGGGATCGAACTCACAACCACACACTGCCTTGCAAGTGAGCTAAATCCCCAACCCCAGGTATACCTTTCTGAAGCTCCCCCCAGCCTCACAATTTAGAAAAGACACCTAAAATTTCCCAAGTCCTACTTTAAAGATGACTTAGCAGTAGGTGTGTTATTTAATGGTAAATAGTAGTGACTAATATTCAAGAACAGACATGTGCACCATTAGTGATTAGAGATTGTGTGAATACATGGTGCCAGATATAGATGTAAGCATTATCTCTTTTTTTCTTTTTTTCTCCCCTTATGGTGCTGAGTGTCAAACCCACAGCCTTGCACATGCTAAACAAGGGCTCTACCAGTGAGCTGCACTCAGTCCCAGTGCTTTATCTGATCCTTCTGTGTATTCTTGCTGTGTGGATTCCTTTGAGGGGCTAAATCATCTCCAACTGAAGCATTATGAACCGCTGCCATGTAAAAACCACTGGCCTTGAGCAGCAGAATAAGGGAAAAAGAAAAAAAAAAAAACCATGCTGTGTTTTATTGTTCTGATTTCGCTACGCCTCAACTTACAGGTTAAGTCAACTCTTAGTCACTTGAATCATTTCTGAAGAGTGACACATCCTTTAGTAAGCCCCATTACCATTTTACCTGTTCAGCAAACTGCCATTCTCAGACACATCTAAAACCTCCACGAAGTTCACTAAATGAGCCTAAACTCCCATGTTTTTATGGAAAAGAAAAAGAATGTTTAGTTATATTCAGGTTCCCCTCAGAGATCAAATGTGTGAGAAAGTTTCCCTTCCACTCAATTTACTTGAGCCTGAGAACCAAAGCAAATGATCACAAGACCTTATTGTTTCTGCTTTCTGAAGCATGTTTTACCGGAGGGGGGGTGGGGAATAGAAGTGAAGTCAGAGCTGCCAAGCACGCCCGCATTTCAGGGTATGTGCACCGTGAAAACTACACCCGAAGCAATGTTTAAAATTCTCTTTTCTCCCCAGTCACAGAAGGAGTTGATCTTTCCCTTACAGTACACACCCTACCCCAAAATGCATCAGAATGCATGACAAATGGGAATTTACATATATCTTCATTGCATTGGTCAGGATTTTTAACAGTTTCTTTCTCAAATGATAACTGCTAACGTTTACAGAGTGCTACAATGTGCTGGATTTGTATGTTCTTATTTTATATGTTGTAAAAGCCAATGTGGTGGTGCTACTCTTAAGGCAATTTTAAGGATGTGGAAATTATGGCACAAAAAGGCTTTAAAACTTCTCCAGTGTTCCAGTTATCTTACTGCAAAGCACAGTCTGAGTGCACTGGGCGTCCTGGAAGGGCTTGGCTGGGTAGTTCATGCTTGGCTGGGATCATGCACACACTTGTAGTCAGATAGTTGGGTTAATAGAGTGGGTATGGAGCACCTGAGGAGCTGATGTGGCTGGGGGAAACCAGGCATCTCTTCCTTGGTCCTGGGCCCTCTCCACTTGCCTGTTGGGCTTCCTCACAGCATGGCAGTCCAGTGGGGGGTGGGGCTGCCTATGTGGCAGGATCAAGCTCCAGTGAGAGAGAACCAGCCAGCCGAAAGCTGCATTGCCTTTTTTTGACCTCTTTCTACTACCATATGACCTCTAGAGTCACAAGTTACTCAGATTCAAGAGGGACCAGCAACTATAAACTTCCTCGTCCTAGGAGAGAAAGGACAGGTGATAGATACTGCATCATCTTTGAAAAATACTATCTACTGCACCCAGTAACAACAAGTGCAACAAGCATTTAGCTTCTAGTGGAGCATATGCCTCGGGGTTAACTGCTGTACTCCATAACAACCATACTGATACAGTGGCCCTTAGTCCTGAACAAATGAGTCTTTGGTTAAATATATGTTTGATGCCAGATGCCCAGTGCATTGTATGGATTAAGATCTGTGCTTAAGTCTGTGGTAGGAGAAATCCTTGCTTTAATTATATGTTGATGAGTCTACTGTGTTAAAGCCATACAGGAACCCCCTCTTCTGGAAGACAGGTGTCCAATAAGAGAAACTGCCATGTAAAATTTTAATACGATGTGAGACATGAATAGGTGTTTGTACAGACTGTTGAACTGATGAGATGGCTGGGTGTGATGGCACGTGCCTGTAGTTTCACCTACAGGCACTGTAGGAGGCAAAGACTGGAGAATTGCAAGTTTGAGCCTGGGCAATGTAGCAATAGGGCTGGGGGGAGAGAGATACAGGAGAGAAGAGAGGAGAGAAGAGAAGAACTAGGTGAAGGAAAAATGCATGAAATATGATTTGGAAAATGTTGGTAATTATTAAGCTAGGTGAAGGTACCTGGGGGCTCATTACGCCATCCTTTCTCCTTTTGTATATGTCTAAAAATTTCCCTCACAAAAATAATAAAAAATCCAGGGTAGTAAGGAGTCCAGGGAAAGTGACTCCTTTTACAGAATGCGGATGAAGAAGACATGAAAAGGGAGGACTTACGCAAGAACCAAGAGAGTTGTTTTTGTTTTCATGTTCAGAATAAAATTACCATGTCTTTTGTTGTAGGGAAATGCATTCCCATCACCCATGAACAGACAGTATTACGTGAGCCAGATGTTAGAGGGCATATCACAGTCTGTAAAACAAACACAGCAAAGAACTTCAGATGATGAAGGGCACCCTGGCAGCCACCCCGTGCGTATGCAGCATGCTAACCACTGCCAACCTAAATGTGATTGAAGCTAGTGTTGTGTTCTGACTCCAGAGATGCACACTCCTGATACGAGGATGCGGTGGGGGAGACCAGGACACTCAGCACCCACAGTGCTTGCTGCTGTCACCGCAGTCCTTCTGGACAGTGGGCCTTTTCTCTTGGAATTCTAGGATTCCATGGTGAAGTTTATCTTCTTTTGGATAATGCTCATTAGGGCGAACAATTAGATTTTGAAAAATGTCTGATCACTGGTGATAATTCAACAACCATTATCTCCACAAAAGACTGATTTCCCACTGTAGCATGAAGAGGCAAGAAGCTCTCTGTTCAAGATGATGTTTGTTTAAGACAGGCAGAAGTGCTGTGATAACCATTCTTTCAATTAGACGACCCATAGTGTGTTGTCAGAGGTGTTTAAGACTAGGCCACAATATTCTCTCTCATTATGTCTCTCATTTTCTCCCCCAGCTCCATCCTAGGGGTCAAACCTAGAGTATCCTACCACTGTGCTAATCCTCACATCTTTTTATTTTTTATTTTGGGTCATAATCTTGCTAAATTTCCCAGGTAGGACTCAAACCTGCAATCCTCCTGCCTCAGCCTCCTGCAGTGCTGGATATTTTCACCGCTTCTGACTGGCACCCTTCATTTTATTTTTGTGTTGTAAAAATTTCCAAACATATATAGAAACATGCTATAACAAACTTCCATGATGTACTCAGCTGCAGCCATTAATACTGTGCCATGTGTTGTCCATCTCTCTCTCAAACCGTGTCAGCCATGGGAAAAAGTACCTTAAAAAAATTATATCTAATCAGTCAATAAGCCCTTGAAATTGTCCAATATACAATATACATACAGTTCTCCCTGAGGGCACAAGCAGTCTTCTATGGTTAATTTGTTTGAACTGGGATCCAAACAAGGCCTGCCATTATATTTAGTTATAACCGGTCTTACATTGCATGTACTGTACAACAGTCCTTGGCCCATTTGTGTCCCTCATCACTGATTCCTTGAAGAATTGGGATCTGTTACAAAGTATCCCATGTTCCGGATTTGGCTAGTGGCTTCCCACAGGTGTTTATGTATCCTCTTCCGCTACCTCGTGTACTTCCAAAGGAGTTAAAAACTCCTCCTGTCCTCCCTCACCCTCTGTCACTTCCAGTTGTCTCATTTTTGGTCTCACTAGGATTGATCCTTGGGTTTAAAGATGACAGCCAGACCTTTTTATTACACAGTTCAGCTAAACATCCATCAGTGACCAGTATCTGAATCACTTATTTAAGTAGAATATGTAAAACGTAACCTTAAAATGCTAGTTTGCTTTTATTGACTAGAATTCTTTTTCCTATTCTGCTATGTATATTTATTTTAAAGTATAGTTCCTACAGAAAAAAGAATTTCCCATAACAATTCTTTATGATTTTAGGGATTAAAATCTCTA